AAGAGGACAACTCAGGAGGCTGAACAAGTCCTACTCTGGGCACAAACACCATTTACTCCAGGCAAATTACTTCTTGCTCTGCTCTCTGTTGTGCATTGGAACTCACATAGGGTATTAATCCTTTTTCTGCTTTTGCTTTGTCTGCAAGCTGCATCTGCTACACTCTATCGGGCTCATATATTAGACCCACCTTTCTTTTGCCCTGTTACCTGGGCAGACACCCCATTCCCAGCCTATAATAATATGACTGCTTGGCTTGGAGGGTTAGAGTTACCCCCAGTGGGCGCCCTCAATAATGGCACACATTGGACTAAGGTGCCAGATAGCACTACATATTACTCCACTGTCCTCCAACTGTGTATAAGTTATAAAAGTACTAGACCTTACTGTGTGCCAGCCCTAAAGCAAGTATGGCTACATCATAGCAAAAGAGATACCTTGACATTCTTAGTGGCAGGCAGCCTCAAACCAGGCAATATAATCCACGCTGCTATTCCAAACATTCCCTCCTGTGCAAAAGAACTAAGTCGGGAAGTCAAGGATTTCACTTTAACTGGGAGGTCCGTCACAGTAAACACCCGTAGCTTCCAGTTAGGCAATTATAAAATCTTAGACTGGAGACCCCATGGCCAACTGCAAAGCAGCCTTTCTAGTGTTTTCAGTCCATCATAGCATCAATCACAGTTTCATAGCCACAGCTCATTCTTCTATAATTTGGGCCATTCGGGGTTGGGAGATCCCAGACCCCGAGTAAAGTCCATGTCACCCCAAGGCATCTTATGGTGCCTAGGACATCTCGGCACCTCTCTTAACACCTGGCATAGGACATGTCATAATTCCAGTCACAACTACACTTTAGCCTTTATTCATAAATACACTGATCCCTGCCTGATTTGCACTACCCAACCATATGCCTTCCTCATGGGAACTAACATTTCCATTACACCCCTAGACTCAACGTCTGTGACACAGGTGCAGGGACAGGCTTGGTTTGCCTCAGGTATCACTAATCACAATATATCTAATTTAAACAGCACTAGTTTCATGGTATTAAGGAGACAATCTGAAGCATTCCTACCAGTCAGTTTAACATGAAATTGGCAAGGTTCCTCTACCCTTGCCACTTTAGAACGCGCCCTGTCCCAGGTCAGACGCAAAAGATTCGTAGTTACACTTACAGTTTTATAGTTTCAGCCATAGTTGTCCTGGTAACTGTGAGTGAGTCAGTACAAATGGCTGCCTTTGTCGATAATCTGGCAAAGAATGTGTCAAATGAACTGCATTTACAGCAAGGTATAGATCAAAAAATTCCTGCACATCTGCCAGCCCTCGAGGCTGCTGTGCAATATGTGGGGAACTGCCAGGATGCGACAGCCTTCCCACAGCAATTAAGCTGTAACTGGGAACATAAACATATTCGTGTCAGTTCTCTACCGTGGAATCAATCAGTGCATGATTGGGATGAGGTGAAACAACACTTCTGGGGAATCTTTCAAGACAATTTAACAGCAGATATAAGCAACTTAAAACTAAAATTCTCGAATCCCTTCACAGTATGGATCTATACAGCCAACAAACAGCCATATAGAAAGGTGTGTAAGATCATCTTACACACCCCACTCCTGGAAGTCACTCTTCAACTGCAAAAGATTGTTGCTAATTGTGCTCATAATTGTCTTTTGTTATTTGGTAATCCTAGGATGCAAAGCCAGAATAAAAGCAAGGGTACCTCTCCTGACAAACCCATGGCTGAACAAACCAGTGGCTTCAATGAATGAAGTACCAATTAGTCATTTATATTCAACCCTTTAAGACCATTCTCTATTTAAATCTAAGCTAGACAAATAGATAAAATAAAATTATCATAGAAAATAAATTTAAGTGAGCAAAGGCATACAAGAAGATCAAGAAAATATAGTTCTGATTTTAAAAATGTTTCTCTTACAATGCTACAAGAACACTTATATGACTAAATAACTCAGATGAATATAATATTAAAACTAAAAATCTGAATATTTTTGTCAAATATCATATTGGTCCATTATGTTGATGATATTTGGGTAATAGGGCTGGTTAGCAGCAAATTCCAAATAGTCTAGATCCTTACTACTCAAAGAGTGGTCCACGGAGCAGCAGCAGCAACACTGCTTGGAAGTTTGCTAGGTATACAGAATCTCAGGCTCCATCCCAAACTTGCTGAGGTAAAATTTGCATTTTACCAAAATTCTTAGTTGACTGACATATACATTTTGTATGAGAAGCTCTGTTGTATTTCTCAGTTATTCTCATTTTTTAGGACTTTTAACTAGGGAAGAGTAAGGATTAAGAACAATCACCTGGGAGGACTTTAAAAATTCTCACAGGTTCTAGAATAATCGTGGAGTAGAATAGGGCATAGGTAGTCTACTTAAATTCTAATAAAAATGGAAGCAAATTATTTTATGGATATAGAAAAATGAATTCTATAGTTTATATGAAGAAGAAAAGACCTTGAATAGCTAACATAATATTGAAGGAGAACAAAATTGGAGGAAATACAGGCACAACTCAACTTCAAGACTTACAGTAAAGCGATGATAATCAAGTAGTGTCATATTGGTGAAAGAATACATAGAGACAGAATAATGAGAGTTGAGAAATAGACACACATCCATATATTTAATTAATCTTTGATGAAAAAGCAAAGGAAATATGATGAAACAAAGATAGGGTTCTTCAGAAAGTGGTGCCGGAACAACTGAATAACCACGTTAAAAAAAAAAAAAAAAAAGTGAGTCAGATCTTACCCTCTCACCAAAATTAACTCAAAACAAATCACAGGCCTAAATGTCAAATAGAAAACTATAAAATTTCTGGTAAATAAAAGGAGAAAATTTAGACCCTCTTGGGTTTGATTATCTCTAGAAAAAAAAGAAGAAACACCAAAGTTACAGCACATGAAAGAAATAATATAAGCTACACTTGATTAAAATGTAACATTTTTGTTGTATTAAAGCCACTGAAAGTGAAGACAAGCCGTAGACTGAAAGAAAATATTTGCATAAACATATTTGACAAATTTTATCCGAGAATATACCAATAGTCTTAAAACGGAATAATAAGAAACGACCCAATTAAAAAGTGAACTAAAGACTGTAAAGGGCATTTCACCAAATAAAATATACAAATAATAAAAAAATAAGCATATGTAATGACGCTCCACATAATATATCCTTAAGAAAATGCAGTAATGAGCTAACACTGCACATCAAGTGGGATGACCAAAAGCAAGAACATGGTCACCTGCTTTAATCACATAGTCCGGCCTATCACATAATTAGTGAGCACTGTGGGTTTTAACTCTGCAAGCCTGGTGTGTAAAGAATTCCGCATAGATAATGGTATAGTGACTAGAAGTATTTATTTATTTATTTATTTATGAGACAGTCTCTGTTGCCTAGGCTTGGAGTGCAGGGGCACAAATAACCAAACAATAACCCAAATTCAGAAGACAGAAAACATCAAATGCTGTCGCGGATGTGGAGCAACAGGGCTTCTCATTCCTTGTTTGTGGCACAATCCCAGATCACTGTATCCACGAACTCCCGGGCCCAAGGGATCCTGCCTCAATCAATCTCCTGGGGCCACAGGCATGCACCACATGCCTGGCTGATCTGTTTTATTTTGTCGAGATGGTCTCCCTTTGTTGTCTCAGTCGGCCTCAGACTCCTGGGATCAAGTGATCCTCCTATCTCAGTCTCCCAAAGTGCTGGAAGTACAGGCATGAGGCACTGCCCCCAGCCTGGAAGTCCTTCAATAGGATGATTTCAATGTCACTGTTTCCTCATCTGCTCTACTCAGCTAAGTCTCCCTCTCCGCCCAAGGGAGATAACGTCAGCCCCATCCAGGATGACTGCAGATTACCCGGCGCCACCGCCATTCTCCAGATGCAGGTCAAGGAGGAAGGGACTCCGAGGCCTGGCAGTGGGCACACTCAGCAACCTTGAAACTCTCCAGACGGGACCCACCCTCCGTGCCCCTGTCTGAGACGTAGCTGCTACCAGCACTTGGCACACAGGCAAATATGGCCGAGGAACCCAAACTCCCCACTTACCCTCTGGGCCTAAGCCACGTGGACCGGGGTGAGACGCCCCTGCTGCGCCGAAGTCCGTGGGTCCGCCCCACCTGCACCAGGGCGGGAACCGCCGCTCATCCCAGTCCCGGCGGCTGCACGGCGTCCGGAGCCCAGCTCTCTGGGCGCGAGCCAAGGAAGAGCCCGGCCTAGACTGGGGGGCGTGCGCCACGTGGCGACCCAGGGGCTGCCACCCCGACCCTGCCGGCGCCACCGACAGCGCGGATCCTTGGGCCGAAAGCCTCCATGGCGCCTAGGTCAGGGGGTGGGTCGCCAGCTGCAGCAGGGCGGGAACCGACGCTCAGCGCCACCCCGGAGGCTGCAGGGTGCCCGGCGCAGGGCCCAGCTCCTGGATCGCGGGTCGAGGAGGGGCCCGGGGCGGCTCTGTCAAGCGGGCTGTGTGGCGGGGCGTCCCCCACGTTCCGCTCCAGGAGCCTCGGCAGCGCGGCAGCGCTTGCCGGCACGTGCCACCTGCAGGCGGCGCCCTTCGGAGCGGGGCTTTTTCCCGCCTAGAGCGTCTCCTCAGCCCGCTGAGCTGCGCATGCGCCGCTGCTTGACGCCTGGCGAGCGCGGCCACGGCGTTTTCCCGCCCTCGCGCGTCCCATCAGCCCGCTGAGCTGCGCATGCGCCGCTGCCTAACGCCCGGCGAGCGTGGCTACGGCGTTTTCCCGCCCTCGCGCGTCCCCTCAGCTGCGCATGCGCTGCTGCCTAACCGCTCTGCTCCCTGACGGGACGGACCGTCCAAGCTCTTGGCCAGACCGCGACTTTAACTGGTGTTGGGTTTAGTGCGGGGACCGAGGAAGGGCGGGGCGAGCGGCTGGGGCCGGGGGAGGGCGGTCGGGGGCGGGGCTCTCACTAGCGGGCGGCCGCAGCCACGGAGACGCTCTCAGCAGCCGCTGTCCCGGGCGTGTCGGGCCCGCCGCGTCCGAGCGCCTTCAGTCAGCTGGTCTACACCAGCAACGACTCTTACGAGATCCACTATGGGGATCTCAGGAAGATCCACAAAGCTGCCTGGCAGGGCCGACACTGGAGGCTGCAGAAGATGATGAGCAAGAAGAGGAAGAGGAAGACAATGAACCTGAACAGAAGAGATGCGAAGAAGAGGTACCAGGCCCTGGCTGAGCCCGGGCTGCAGGCGGCGGCGGCGGCCGCGGGGGTCGCCCTGCAGAGTGCGGCGCTGGGGGCCTGGGGCCCGGGGGGGCCGCTGGAGGCGTGGGGGGCGGCGGCCCTGGGGTCGGGGCCTTCGTCCTGGGCGGGGGTCCCCCGGGCCGGGGCTGAGGGCGCCCTGCAGGACGGAGGGCCCGGGCCACCTTGAAATCGGCCCCAGACTTTAGCTGCTGTCCCTTCACTCCCACTTCCTGTCACAGAGCTCTGTCTAGAGAATTTTTTTTTTCATTCAATTGTCACTTTGTTGCAAGATGGTAGCATTAACTACAAATTTAAACTGTCACCTTGGTAATCTTTAGTCGGGCAGCAAGTTTTTACAAAGACAAACTGCTTATACAGAAGTGATCACGGAACAACTCAAAGGCAGCATAAGAAGGATCCGAAATACCTGACTGACCAGTGGAGATTTCGTTCTCTCACTGATTAAAACAAACTTGTCATTTTTAGAAGAGGTAAATCGTAACTTCAGTAGACACCAATAAGAAAGACTGTGTGAAATAGAGTAGTTTCATTTACTCAGTCAACTGTTTCTAGCAGTCTCAATTGGAATTACATTTACGTAACTGGCTGTGCTTGAGCCTTTTTTGCCAGCAGCTTTAGGTCAGTAATGCACTTGGCAATTGTCTCCTTTTTCTCCTGTGCAGAGATGCTCTGCACCACGTGCTTCTCCACACACTTTATCATGTGCTCGTATTCCTTTGGATGCATCATGTTCTGCACAGATACTCAAGGCGATTCTTTACTTCCTTATATACTCTATGCAGTTGTTCCTGGTAAGTAACCTCCAAAGCGATAGCAATGTTATTCCTCTGCACATCAAAAAGGTAATGGCACTTCTGAACCTCTGAACCAAGGCCTGCTGTGCCTTCTCCAAATCAACTGCATCCTGGATTTTTTTTTTTTTTTTAGAAAATTTCCTTTATTTTATTTTATTTCACTTTAAGCTCTAGGGTACATGTGCTCATCCTGCAGGATTGTTGCATAGGTACACACACGCCATGGTGGTTTGCTGTCTTAGTCCCCCAGTTGCCTACATCAAGCATTTCTTCTGGTGTTATCCCTCCCCAACCACCCCGCCCCCACTGTCCCTCCCCTCCCCTGGCCCCCACCTCCTAATCTACCCCAGTGTGAGGTGTTCTGCTCCCTGTGCCCACGTGTTCTCATTGTTCATCACTTGCCTGTGAGTGAAAACGTGGTGTTTGGTTTTCTATCTTGTGTCAGTTTGCTGAGAATGATGGTTTCCAGATTCATCCATGTCCCTACAAAGGACATGAACTCATCGACTTTTATGGCTGCACTGTATTCCATAGTGTATATGTGCCACTTTTTCCTTGTCCAGTCTATCATTGATGGGCATTTGGGTTGGTTCCAGGTCTTCGCTATTGTAAACAGCGCTACAAAGAACATACATGTACATGTGTCTTTAAAATAGAATGATTTATAGTCCTTTGGGTATATACCCAGTAATGAGATTGCTGGGTCAAATGGAATTTCTATTGCTAGATCCTTGAGGAATTGCCACACTCTCTTCCATTATGGTTGAACTAATTTACACTCCCACCAACAGTGTAAGTTTTCGTTTTTCTCCACATCTTCTCTAGTGTCTGTTGTCTCCAGATTTTTTAATGATCACCATTCTAACTGGCGTGAGATGGTATCTCAATGTGGTTTTGATTTGCATCTCTCTAATGACCAGTGATGATGAGCATTTTTTTCATATGTTTGTTGGCCACCTAAATGTCATCTTTTGAAAAGTGTCTGTTCATATCCTTAGTCCACTTTTGAATGGTTTTGTTTGTTTTTTCTTGTACATCTGCTGTAGTTCTTTGTAGATTCTGGATAATAGGCCTTTATGAGATGGGTGGTTTGCAAATTTTTTTCCCATTCTGTTGGTTGCCAGTTCACTCTAATGATTGTTTCTTTTGCTGTGCAGAAACTCTTAAGTTTAATTAGATCCCATTTGTGTATTTTGGCTTTTGTTGCCATTGCTTTTGGTGTTTTAGTCATGAAGTCCTTGCCTATGCCTATGTCTTGAATGATGTTGCCTAGGTTTCCTTCTAGGGTTTTTATGGTGTTCTTACATTTAAATCTTTAATCCATCTGGAGTTAATTTTTGTATAAGGATGTGAGGAATGGGTTCTTTAAGATATTGAACTTCCCAACTGTATTTATCATTGTTTTAATCAATTTATCACATGTAAGCTGAATGCCTATTATGTAGAAGACACATTGTAATAACTTACGAGACCCTTTCACCCTTAAACATTCCATATTTACTTGCTCAGCCTGGGCAAAGTGAGGGATTTGAAATTGGAGTATTAGGACTGACCCTCAATTGAACCTTTTCCTCTCATCTTTCAAACAAAAACACTTCTGAAGTGAGAAACTGGTGAAAGATAACTATCAACTACGATTTTGAAAATTTATAACAGTTTTAAATAGTAATATTAATCATTGAAAATACCTAATCTACAGGCATCCTATAAATCTAAATATGAATTAGCATACATTCTGTAAATCTAAATACAAAATAAAATGTGCCATAGTTACTCATTTGAATCCCAAGTGTTCTTTGGCTTGAAGTTTTTAAAATATTAAAGAAGTACTTTGTTTTAACAATTTGTTGTTTTTATTTCAACTCTGCTTTTGCATAGTATTCTTACAAGCTAAAATTTCTTTAAGTGTTAATCCTGTGACTTGGACTTCCATTGTCTTGTCGTATATACCATATCCCACTTCATGGAAGGCACCGTGAATTGTGTGATGCATCCTTATTTTATGTACCAATAAAAGATTGTTTAAATTGCTACAATATACAGTTGTAATAAATAATGACTTATAAGTGGCATTCAATATCAGAGATGCTAAAATATGAGAAATTGTTCACCTTAGAAGCATTAAAATACAGTGTTATCTCTAACCTTTAAAACACACCACAAAGTAGGCATAATTGCACCATTTTACTTAAAATGTTGTCTTTGTTAAGTAGTAGTAGTAATTACAATATCTAGTATTACTGAGCTTTTACATGTGCTAGGAACTCTTCAACATACTTTGCACAGATTCTCATTGAGACATCACAATTATGTCCTGTGAGATAACTGCTATATTCATCTGCACTTTATTGATGAGAAAATTGAGGCACAGGAAGGTTACATATCTAGTAAGTGAAATAATATCCAATAATATTAACGTAATATCCAAGCCCAAGTTGAAATGAATCCAAAGGCCAAGCTCTTTCTGTTGAAAGAGGCCACTCTTTCGTTAATGTAGTGAGGAATAAGAGCAAATGGAAGTGGTATTTTCTTCAGCAGAACATTGAATATTTGTTTTGAAGGCAGATAAAGAGCATTATATTTAATGTTTACAATTACATAAATCATTGTATGTTTTGAGACAGTGGACTAAAATTTCCTGAAAGGTCCTCTCACTCTCATAGGACCGCGCTACACTTAGCCTGTGCCTACGGCCATGAGGAAGTGACAGCTTTACTGGTAGACAACAAATGCCAGCTTGACGTCTGTGATGGCGAAAACAGGACACCTCTGATGAAGGTAAATAGTAGCCAGTGCTTGCAGCAGGAGATGGATTTGGTTTAAATAGATAGAATAAAAAATGAATTTATCTTATTGAAATACAACTTGTTTGTGAACCCTGTGGAATATTTATTTTGATTTCCAATAATTTATAATTTACTTCTTGCTTTAATACTGACAGGCTCTACAATGCCAGAAGGAGGGTTGTGCAAATATTCTGATAGATTCTGGTGCTGATCCAACTATCGTAGATGTGTATGGCAACACAGCTCTCCATTATGCTGTTTATAGTGAGAGTTTGTCAATGGTGGCAAAACTACTGTCCCGTGGTGCAGACATTGAAGTGAAAAACAAGGTAGACGTTAACCAATGTTATTTTCAAAATGTTTGTAATCCACTTGTTTTAACATTAACGTTTATATTATATTTAAAAGTTGAAACATTGCTTGAATGAAAATAGTTTGAACAAACTGAATTGTCTTTAATTTTACTATAAGTATTAATATTTTTATAAGAACTATTACAGAGTATGGATTTTTTGTGCATTTATTTTAACTATTTGAATTTGTTAATGGTAAAATTTTTTTCAAATATTCTTTCCCACCCAAGTTTTTTTTTTTCTTTCCAATTAGTGTAAAACTACAGGAAAGCAAAATTTGCCTGCATAAATTTTGTCAACATGTTAAATTTAGGAGACATGCAGAAATCTGGATTTCCTCTTAAAGAGTAGAATCTGATGTCTCTTGAGCCCATCTGACTGTTTGGTACTCTATGAAGAGGTTCTAGGTTTACCCAAAGCATATGTTTTCCAGTTTGCCCTGCTAGGTACATCACTTACTCAAGTTACCTCTTTTGCCTATGTAAATATCTCTTAGTTATCAATTTCTCTCTCATAGTATATTTTGGTACAGATTTCAAGGTATTGAAGACAGTTTATAGGTGTTTATAATATACAGTTTATATTTTACCTTAATTCATTAATAATGGGATTGATTTCTAGAATTCAGAAGACTTTTTTAAACAATAATTTTTCTTTACATAAACCATAAATAATTATCTTCTATTAAAATGACTTTAAGTCTTTTTAGATTAATCATGATTATATTTGAATAGGTTATACATATTGCAGAAAATATATCTTTCTCCTCAGAATTGTTAGCTAAAATTCAAATGATTTAGTGGCTTCTTTATGCTAATATATGTAGGTAAGTTAGAACTTTCACTAATAAGCCATTTTAGTCATATTTCTGATATTTTGCCAAAAATAAATAGCAATTACTATAGAAACCAGAATAAAAATGGATTATTGCATTTAAGAAGTAGATAAGCATTAGGATCCTAGGATTATCATTATAATTGAGAATAAACTTTTATACTGAATTTCCAATACCTGAGATAAAAGATTATTGACTTGTAATAGGAGAAACCCCATGGACCATTTAAAAATAAGCATGCAAAGTTCATTTGAAACTAATCTCTTTTAATTTGGAGCCCACTTCCTTATTGACCCATCTAGAGCAGGAGTGCCTGACATTGGCATCTCAGATCCTGTGATCATTAATAGAAGAGAATCAAGCATGTTTGTATCACCCAGACGAAACCTCAATTTCTCTTGGGAAGCTTTCAAAACCATGTCCCTGAAATTCTAATTTGTCGAATGTTAATGTCTGCCACAAAAATACATTGTCAAGTAAGGATTAGGCAAAGTTCAAGTCATTTTTTGAATAATGGACATTTAACTCACAGTTTTATAATATTTCTTGAACATAAGTAATGGTGAAATCTGTTGGGGTACAGTGCTTCTGGTAAGATAATTATTCTTTGGAATATAGTTTAAGAAACACTGCTCTACAAGTGATAATTCAGATTATTAATTTAATTTTTTTAAAAAACAAAGTCTTTACTACTATGTCTTAGTGTTTAAGGCTATAGAGATGAAAGAAACTCTTGGTTTAGATGGGAAACAAATCATTACAATATAATGATTTTTTTGAGATATTCAGAGTTAATATGGTGATGCAGAGTCTGAATGTTTCCAAGGGAAGGTGCAGTGGATAGGAAAGCACAGAAAAGGGAGAAAGAAGGGACTGCTATTGATTTACTTTCTATTTTATGTGTTTAAGTTCATAGGATATTATATAAGGTATTCAGTTCAGCTGAGAAATACGTAATTTCATGAATCATAAATTGCTTTTGCTGTTTTACAGGCTGGCCTCACACCACTTTTACTGGCCGTAACTAGAAGAAATGTGCAAATTGTGGATTTTTTACTGACAAAAAAAGCAAATGCAAATGCAGTTAATAAGTGTACATGGTATAGTAGTTTTTTTTATTAGAAACACTTGAGTAGTGTTCTAGAGTGATAACAATCAAGTCAGAAATATTAAATTGATAGTTTATTTAAAATTATTAGCTTAAGTGAAAAATACCAACACAAATTATCATTTAGGAAGAAAACCCATTATTTGGACTGGTCAATACTAAGAACAGTATACAGTAAGATTTATCTTCTCTTTTTATATTGACTGATTTGTAATCTGATGTTTTTGGTTGCATTATCTTCTATTAGGTAAAGTGGTTTTATGTTAGTTTTAAGAAGTATGAACTTTTTCAGTTTATAATTCAATATTGAATGATTAACATTTTTATAGTATTTTTCTAACTTCTCTTTTTTATACACTTAAAAATCGCAATATTTGCTGGGTACGGTAGCTCTTGCCTGTTATCCCAGCACTTTGGGAGGCCAAGGTGGGTGAACCACTTAAGGCAGGCATCCCCCAAACTTTTTACACAGGGAGCCAGTTCATTGTCCCTCAGACTGTTGGAGGGCTACCACATACTGTGCTACTCTCACTGACCACCAATGAAAGAGGTGCCCCTTCCTGAAGTGTGGCGGGGGGCCGGATAAATGGCCTCAGGGGGCCTGCATGCGGCCCGCGGGCCGTAGTTTGGGGACGCCTGACTTAAGGCAAGGAGTTTGAGACCAGCCTAGCCAACATGGTGAAAACCCATCTCTAGTAAAAATACAAAAGTTAGCTGGGCATGGTGGCACATGCTTGTAGTCCCAGCTACTCAGTAGGCTGAGGCATGAGAATCGCTGGAACCTGAGAGGCAAAGGTTGCAGTGAGCTGAGATTGTGCTACCGCATTCCAGCCTGGGAAACAGAGCGAGACACTGTCTAACAACAACAACAACAACAACAAACAATAGTAGTCAAAAATAGGAGTTTAAAATCATTTTGTCTTTAGGATGACTATTGCTTTAAGTTATTTTCTTTGAAGAATAGTTATGTTAGGTTATCCCTTCATGACTATAAATTGCTGTCACCAGATACTGTGAATTTATTTTTTCTTTTTTTATTCATAATGTATTTTTATTTTTAATTTATATTTAATTTGTATGGGTAGAGGAAAGAAAGTTACTTTTAACTGGATTAACATTTTAGTTAATGAAGATAAGTCATTGGTGAGTGATAAAGAAGAAGAGATAGGCTTTTGAGTCACACAAGACTGGGTTTAATTTCTACCTTCCTCACTTGATAGGTGTGACCTTGCAGACATTATTTAGTATCAAGTATGATTTTCTATATGAAAAGGAGAATATACTATGTCCTTTAAGAATGATTGTGTGGAATTAACATAATAAATATCAACAGCATTTAATTCAGTGTTTCATACATTCTTATCAGCATCATTAAGTAAACTTAACTAAGATCATTATTCCCACTATTGTTTTAAGCCTTCAGATGGCTCTCACTTGTCTAATTTCTAGCTGATTTTGAAGTACAAAATACTATATCAGTCTAAGGAAGAAATAGATACTTTTTCACTTAAATCTGTGCCTCTTTTAGGTTAGTGAACAGAGCATATTTTCTTGCCCCTCAAAGGACTTTATGTTAGCTACTTCTAGTATGCCATTTCCCAGTGGAACATGAGTCTTTTTGCCCCTTCGTTTTAGTCTTGGTGGGGATTTACAAGGATAAACACTTGAGCACTCAAGATACTTATGTTTGTTAGTATTACGTAAATGGTTAATTCTACACTGACAGACAAATATTAAAACAGTTCTGTTCCTAATAATGAAGTTATTTCTTTGTTATTTTAGCACAGCCCTCATGCTTGCAGTATGTCATGGATCATCAGAGATAGTTGGCAGGCTTCTTCAGCAAAATGTTGACATTTATGCTGCAGATATGTTTGGAATGACTGCAGAACGTTATGCTGTTGCTTGTGGATTTGATAAGTAAGTGTTTACATTTAAAGACTAGGTGAGCATTCATAGTTTGTTTCAAGTAATTTTTGAATGACAGTGAGTTAGTTTACTTCATCAGCCAGAAAGTAGGCAAAAAGCTAGACTAGTTAGAAGGAGTAATGGGTCCAGGATTCTTTATTTTAGGATTTTCAACAACTTTATCCCCAGGGATCCTGATGCTGGCTGCCTGATTTGAAGTAAACCCTTATGCGGGAGATAAACATAGTGCCACAGTTTTGATTTTTCTAATTAGTTATTTGGGTCTTGAAATGTCCACTTTAGCAGAACACCTGATAGTGTCCCCTGGGGGCTGTCTTTCATACCTTCACCCTTGAATTTTTTAAAAGAATTTAAGGGGTTTCCTAAGTCCAATGAAGACATTCCTTTTGTACATGTCAGAAGGACTTGGGGGAAATTGCCATTTTCTTCATTTTGTTGTTTCCATTGGTTCTGTTGCTGCATTGCTGTCATTGAAACAGCTTCTGCAGTCTGGAAATGATTGACTTCTGTGACCAGGATGCCTTTACTAATACAGATTCCTCAGTCTTCATGGTGACCCACATATAGGCTTCAAAGTTATTACATTTTTTTATGTTTACATACATATTCTCAGCCACTGTTTCCAAAGTACCAGCACCCTGCTCTGGCAGCTAGGACTTTTAGCTTTAGCCACACACATAGTGATCAAATTGACCCTTCTTCTCACACTCAAAACCTGATGTGAAACCCACATCTTAGCTTGGACTTGGCCTAGACCTTCATGGTAAGTAATCCTTTGAGTGGCTTTTTTTCTAGTTGTGATAGTTTGAAACTGTAAGTCAGGTTAAAATATAGGAAGAAATTAGAGGTCCATTTAATTAATGTTAACAGATCCATATCCTTAGCCCTTTAGATCCTGTGTAGCACCATTTCGTAGGTAGTGGAGGAAGGTCTCATCTTGTTCTAGAAGATTCTATGTCATCTTTCCCTAGTTGTAGTGGGTTCCAACTTGCGGTTTTCCCCTTAAGTGATTCTTTTTTTTTCTGAAAGAAAAATCTCCCACGCTACTTGCATCTCTGTCTTGAGCTTTTAAAATATTTTCAAATTCTGCATCACTGTGAAGCCATTCAATAAATCTCAAGTAAGTTGGTTAGATTTAACCAACTTCATTGATTTAAATCTTCGTAGATGTAACTTACTTCATCCATGACTGATCAGTCTTCACATACAAAATTAAGGATTTGTGCTGGCTTCACTGGTACATATACTAAAACTGAAACAACATCGAGAAGATCAGCATGGTCCCTGCATGAGGATGACACACAAATCTGTGCAGTGTTGCATATTTCTTGCAGTCCCCAAAGGACATTTGACTACTTTCTAACTAGCTCCAAGGAAGTGGTGTCAGTCAAAGCACAGTGGGTGATGTCCAGTATTGCAATGGTGATTTTCATACAAAAAAGATTTATGTAAGGTGATCTATAAAATGAGATATTGGTGAGTAATACATAAGAAATTCTGTGCAATATGTGGTTAGTAGGCATCTCATAAATGAGAAACTACCAACTTGCATCTTCTTTGTGGAAGTTACAAAAAATAAAGGTAGCATTTTGTCTTCCACAGCAGCTGGAAATGAGCATAGTGACCAAGCATCATTCTAACAAAGATTTTTGTTTCAGAGTTTAAGGAAGTAGATAAAGAGTAGTAGTAGTCCAAGTCAGTTGCTGACATATATTAGTTTTCTGCCCATGATGTGACTGATGAGCTCAGTAATATAGGAAAATCAGGTTATCCAATTAATGAATTAATATATTTATTAATAAATTTTATTATAAATTATAAAATAGCTTAGATGTCCTGAATTACAAGCCACAAAAAATAGAACATCTAATAATCAAAAGTAGGAATTAATAACAGAAAACTGCAATATTTTGATGTTATAACCTATGTAGACTCTTTATTTTAAAAAATTATTTTGGTAGAGACAGGGGTCTTCCTATGTTGTCCAGGCTAGTATTGAACTTCTGGGCTCAAGGAGTCCTCCTGTCCCAGCATCCCAAAGTGCTTGCATCACAGGCATGAGCCACTGCACCAGGCCAACACACTGGGTTTTACTGGGAATTTTAAAATAGTTTCAGCAATAAGGTTCAAGAACAAATTATTTCATTGCTTCGTTATTTCTTTGAGCATTTTAAAACTGTTATCTTGTTAAATCTTTATAATAACCTAGTATAAAAAGGCTCTAAAATTCTCATTTTTAGAAGACATTGAGCCTAAGAGAAGCAACTTGTTCAAGAAAAAATACCTGTTGGTGATTGCACTAGGACCTATTCTGCGTTAAGGACATTTTCCATTATGCCAAGCTAACTCTAGTTAATTGACTAAATTATGCTGCCCTCAATTCCTGAGTATTTCATCTTTGTTTCTTCTTTTATTAGAAGCTTAATAAGTTCATAGACCTTACAAACCTAAAGTCTATAAAATAAGTAATGTTCTGACGTTAGCCCTGATATTTTCTGAAATACTCTAAGAACTTAATAAATGTGGTAAATGTTTTTTAATATCAGTGTTAAAATTGTAATTTTATGTATTATATTTTTTATACATAGCATTCTTCAACAACTTTTGGAATATAAACAAAAGACATCTGAACATCCTCAAAATAGCAATCCAGGTAAGACTTCTGATATTAAACTACTCTTGGTGGTGCCACCATATGATTATGGAAGTTTTGATCACAAAAGAGCAATTAAAAAAGAAATGTGTAAATAGCATGTGTTTACATACATACATATGTGTGTGTATGCATATATGCATATATAGAGCTTTGGTTTAATTTTTTAGTTTATAATTCATAATTAGTTAAGAATACAGTTGTAGGTAGTTTATAATCTCAAGAAATATTATCTGAAAAAATATTTGTTTAAGGGCCCTAAAATCCTATATAATACTTTTGTATAAATAAGTAAAAGAATTTATAAGTTCATACATTGTATGTTTCCTCAATTGTCATAACAACTTAGGGTTGTTATAAAATGTACAACCCTCAGTATGACTGATGAACTCGGTAATAGGGGATAATCAGGATATCCAATTTAATGAATTAAAATATTATAAATAAATTTTATTCCAAATTATAAAATAGCTTCGATGCCCTGAATTATAAGCCACGAATAATAGAACTAATAGAATAACAACCGAAAACTATAACGTTTGAATATTATAACTTATGAAGAAACATGGATTGTTAATTATTTATTTATTTATTGTAAAGAAGGGTCTCCTTATGTTGCCCAGGAGTATCTTGAACTTCTGAGCTCTATTTAATTTTTATAATAAATGGTTGCATTTAGTAAATGAGAATTAGTTACAGTTGAGTCTTAAGAAACATGAGAGTTAGGGTGCTGATTCCTCACACAGCTGAAAACCTGCTTTATATGAAAATCTGTTGATTTTGACTCCCCCAAAACTCTACTAATAGTCTATGGTTGACCTGGAGCCTCACTGAAAGCATAAACAGTCAATTAACACATAGTTGATATTTTATATGTACTATATACTGTATTCTTACAATAAAGTGAGCTGGAGAAAATAAACTGCTACAAAGAGGAAAAATATATTCACTATTTATTAACTGGAAGTGAATTATTATACATAAATGTCTTCATTATCATTGCCTTCATGTTGAGCAGGCTGATAAGGAGGGGGCATAGGAGAGATTTGTCTTGCTATTTTGCAGTGGCCAAGAAAAAGAATAATCTGTCTATTGCTGGGCTCCTACAGTGAAAGGATCAACTGTGTGACATAGCGACTTGTGTCACCAAAAAGTAACCATCTTTAGAATTTGGAACTCAATAATACTCTTCTGGCACCATAAACAAATGTCAAAAAGAATTACAAACCTTAGGGTGCATCAGTACAAATATTTGAAAAATAATCTCCTACTACTGAATGCAGAAGTCAGAAAAGCAATTCTTTTTTTGTGAAGTGCAGGTTATGTTACATAATCTTGTACCAACAAGGTTTCACTATTATCAACTTCATTCCCTCTAACTTGAAACCAAATCATGTATATTTACTTCATTAGAACAAGATGAGTTGTTCTATCTTCTGGATTAGTGTGTTAGTAGTAATTTTGTTACGAGATACTCTGTTCCTACTAGTCAAAATATTATCATTATAAATATTCAAATAGATAACTCTAGGCTCAACAAATTATAATAAAAGTACACAAAATTTCACAGTATCAAAAATGCTACTGTGATACCTAAATGTGACACAATGCATTGTACAATACAAACTGTATAAGCACATCTTTATTATATCAAAGGACTTTTATAAGTTAGGTTTTGCAAGTTACAGGAGACAAAGATGGAACACAAATAATTTAGGTCTTAACGTGCTCATAACAATGTAGAGCTGTCCCTATTGAATTGATGCATTTTTAATAGAATTTCAAAAAAATGCTTTTTGTTCACTTATCCACTTGTCCACTTAACAAATAGCTGTCAGGTATCTTTAAAGTACTAAGCATCTTCCTCGTTATCATTGTCATCTTTTTAATTATTTACTACTTTATTAAGGTACTAGGTACTAAGCATTTTTCTTTTTATTATCATCTTTTAAAAATTATTTACTACTTTATTTAGTGCTTATTTTGTGCCAGAATCCCTTTGGGAGCTTAGAATTATCACATATGTCGTTACCTTATTCATTATTTGTTAGACATTTTAAATGCAAGGTGAAGAATTAAAACTTTAAAAAGTTTGGTGGTGTCAAGGCGCAATGGCTCACTCCTGTAATCCTAGTACTTTGGGAGGTCAAGGCTGATGGATTGCTTGAGCTTAGGAGTTTGTGACCACCGCGACTAACATGGTGAAACCCCGTCTCTGCTAAATACGAAAAATTAGCCAGACGTGGTGGTGTGCGACTGTAATCTCAGCTACTTGGGAGGCTGAGGTACAATTGCTTGAACCCGGGAGACGGAGGTTGCAGTGAGCTGAGATCACGCCACTGCACTCCAGCCTGGGCGACAGAGCAAGACTCTGTCTCAAAAAACAACAACAAAAAAAGAAAGAAAAGTTAGGTAGTATTTAAGGAAAGCATGCAAAATGAGAAGTTTGCCAGGTAAAGAATCAGAAGAATAATATTTAGCAGAAGGAAAAAATTAACCAGATTGTGTGTTTGGCAGAAGGAACAGCTGAAGAAACACCTGACCAGGCTGCACCCTTGGCGGAGGGAATACCTGATGCGGACGCACGCTTGGCAGAGGACACACCTGACGCGGACGCACGCCTGACGGAGGGCATGCCTGACAAGGCTGCATGCTTGGCAGAGGGAATGCCTGATGAGGATGCACGCTTGGCAGAAAAAACATCTCAAGAGGTTAAATGCTTGGTGGAAAGAACACCTGAGAAGGCTGCACCCTTGGCGGAAGGATCATCTGACAAAATTTGGTATTTGAGGAATGAGACATCTGGAAAGATTGAACAGTCAGCAGAGGAAACACCTCGGAAAATTATGAAGCATGTAAAAGAAACATCCGAGAAATCTGCATGGACAGCACAAGGAAGACCTAGGAAGATCGCATGGCCGGAAAAACTAAAGTCTAAAAGGACTAAACGCCTGGCAAGAGTAACATTTTATAAAACTGAAGTTGTGGAAACAATATCTAAGATGAGCGAATGTTCCACAGCAGAAACATCTGCAAAAGCAAATACAAATGGTAAGATGCTTGAGTGAACTTTGTAGGGTTTATTGGCACTTCAGGTTCCCTAGTGGAAATAGTGTGATGTGGGAGTGGTTGGGAATGACCTGAATATCCAGATAAGCAAGCTTAGGCAGCACTTTTTAATAGTATAGAAATGAGTAGATCTTATTCTGTAGGACCTGGAGAAATTCTCAGAATACTTCTAGCTCTAAATACTAGATGAACTAACTAGGCTGAAACCATAGGAACCAAATTTGTTTTGGTGGTACAGGGATATCTTAGTATCCCACTCTCCTCCCCACTGCCCTATTTGTTCTCCTTTCATGGCTGGCTAATGAGCAACAGCTACAATGAACATGCTTTCTCAAGGCAATCTCTGAAGGCTGGAAGTGCTGCTTTTGTTCACATTCTTCTTTTAAATAGGAAGAAAACTTGGAATCTTGTTGTAATCTTCCTGTAACATTTCATTGCCTGGATTATACCACATGCTCATGTGTAAACCAGTCATGAGGAAAGTGTATGTAATTACTGTGATTAGCTTACAATAACGATTTGTCTTTTTGGAGATGGGATGGGGCAATGGAATAATAAATATCTTAAGTAAACTTATGTTTCTGCAGCAAGAAAGAATAAATAACGGCTATGCATAGAAATCCAGAAACATTTTCTGCAGGCATTCATTGGAAAAGTTTGAGCAGGGGAATCACAAGATTAGATTTGAGTATCAGGGCATTCTAGTCATGGTATAAAGCAGAAATTGGCAAACTTTTCCAGTAAAGGGCCATTTAGGAAATATGTTAGACCATGAGGTCTCTATCACAGCTGTTCAACTCTGACATTGTAAAGTGAAAGCAGTCACAGATAATGTGTGAACAAATAGGCATGATTATACTCCAATAAAACTTTGTAAGTAAAACCATTTGGTAAGCTGAATTTAGTCTGTGGCCTATAGTTTGCTGGCCCTTCATGTACAAAATAGTTGGAGGGTAATCACATAATAAGATTTAAAGGCAAAGGAAGCTTTTATAGCAGTTCATGCTATAGTCTTTTTTGTCACCAGTCTGTCACCTAGTATCAATCTATTATGAAAGTTTGACCCATCAGGGAAAAAATGAATCAAGTTCAGAAGCTCAATTGATATATTTGAACATTTAGGTCTTTCTATGCCATTATTTTATTTTGATTTGTTTCAGTGAATATTTTTAACTTAAAAAATAACAATAGTGATTGGTACAGTTTCTTTTTCCCTGTGAAAGCCATAAGTTAAGGGGTCATGTTTAGCGAGGAAACACACACAAGTTAAGTACATTCATCATTAGCTGTGGTAGGTATTTTCTAAGACACCAATAAATGTCTGAAACTGTGGATAGTATTGAACCCTATATATACATTTTTTCTATATGTAAGTATTTATGATAAAGTTTAACTTATAAATTAGGCACAGTAAGAGATTAACAGTAACCCATCATAAAATAAAACAATAAAAATATATTGTAATCTAAGTTAGGTGAATGTGGTGTCTCAAACTCTTTTGTATTGTACTCACCTTTCTCTTTTGTGTGATGATTGTGAGATGATATAATTCCTATGTGATGAGATTAGGTCAGGTGAATGAGGTAGGTGTTGTCATATGGTGTTAGGCTACTATTAATTTTTGGATATTGACTATACATCTGAAGGAGGATCATCTGCTTAATGTGGCCCTGGATCATTGAGCTATGATAATGTTGATGGTTGAGATTCAGGAACAGACAATTTTGATGAATAATGGGCAGACAGTGTATACAAAGGGATGATATGTGACCTGGGTGAGATGGAACAAGATATCTTAATATTTTATCATACTCCTTAGAATGACACATTATTTAGAACGTATGACTGGTATATTTCTGGAATTCCCCATTTAATATTTTTGCACTATGGTTGACCATAAGTAACTGAAATCACAGAAATCAAAACCTGTGGATATTATATTGTGAAATATATGTTTGGTCTTCAACACTGTTTTCTGGCATACAACTCATAAAATGTTTAAAATCTCCAAAATGGTGTTTTTCTATGCTAATAATTAAATGAGGGCTGGTAGTCCCTAGCTTCAGGATAGGAGCTTGTCACAAATAAAAGAACAAGGCATGATTACAGTATTGAGACTTTCAGACCCACCCCTCAAACTCCTAGGAGTGAGTAGAGCTGAAGGTTAGGTCAGTTACCAGCGGCCACAGATTTATTCATTCATACCTATTTAATAAAGCTTTCTTAAGAACCCAGAGGACTGGGATCAGAGACCTTCTAGATAGCTGAATATATGGAAGTGTTTGGAGGCTGAAGTGCCCTGGGAGGGCGTGGAAGCCCAATATTGCTTCTCCCATAGCTTGCCATATGCATCTCTTCACCTGTCTCCTTTGTGATATCCTTTATAATAAACTGGTAATTGTGTTTCCTTTAGTCTTTGCGGCACTCTAGCATATTGCTCAAGCCCAAAGAGGGAGTCATGGGAACCCCTAGCTTGAAACAAGATGGTTAGAAGTTTTAGAGACCCAGATTTGCAACTGGTGTGGGAGGGCAGTCTTGTGAGACTGAGACCTGAGCCTTGGGATCTGACACTATTTATAGATAGAAATTGCTGGAATTGAATAGAGGACAGCCAGTTGGTATGTGCTACAGAAATGATTGCTCACTTGTTGATGGAGAAAATCCTCCACACACGTGGTTTCAGAAGTCTTCTGTTTTGATAATTGTGGTGTAAGAGCAGAGGGAAATCATGTTGTGTATGTGTATATCTACCCATAGAGCAGATAAAGAGTGACTACTGTATACTCTGTTCTAACTGCTCTTAGTTCATTTCTCTAGAAATTGTACTTCCTAAGGTTGACACTATCCACTTACTCTGCTAATGATACAATTTTCTGTCAGCCTTAAATGGTTCTGTTTGGATTTTGACTACTGTATACTGTAGTTCACTTGTAGATATTAAATTGTGATAAAGTCTATTCTTCCTTGCATGTGAGAACTACTAAGGAGGGGAAATAATAGTTCTCAGTTCATTAGTTGCCTACCAATAGTATATTTAATAATTTTACTATGGTCTCAATGTATGGTCCCAAAGCAATGCTTTGTCACAAGTCATCAAATCATCTGAGTCTTGGTAACAAAGTGTCAGAGTATTATACTTTTATTTTTTATTTTTTGTGATGGAGTCTCCCGTTGTTGCCCAGGCTGGAGTGCAATGGTGCGTTCTTGGCTCACTGCCACTTCTGCCTCCTAGGTTCAAAGGATTTTCCTGCCTCAGGCTCCTAAGTAGGTGGTATTACAGGCACACACCATCACACCTGCCTAATTTTCTTCTGTATTTTTAGTAGTGATAGGGTTTCATCATATTGGTCAGGCTGGTCTTGAACTCCTGACATCATGATCCGCCTGCCTCAGCCTCCCAAAGTGCTGGAATTACAGATGTGAGCCACCACGCCCAGCCAGTATTATGCTTTTTTAAAGAAGACCAGAAGCATGCATGAAAGTGTGCATGATTCTTTTGGATTAAGTTGAAATCTTGCTGTGTGCCCCAGGATGCTCTCAGACATCTAGTTCCCAAAAGTGATCCTCCTACCTCACATTCCCAAGTAGCTGGGATTACAGGCATGTACCATCATGCCCTCTTATGTTTTTAATATTCTGTATATTTTGTATATATTTGTTGATTTAAGGTATTTCCTTTTTTTTTAATAGAGAATGTGAATTATGTAAAGTCTATATTCAGGTAAGATTTTACAGTGTTTTAAAACTTGTATGTTAACTAAAAACATAAAGAAAAGAAACCACTATCTGTTGAGTATTCTACTCTGGGCTAGACAATATATTATGTGCTTAACATTTTTCATCTCATATGGTCGTCACACAGCTTTGCAAAGTATCTGTGCTGCTATCACCTACTTTATATTAATCAGGCAACTGTGGTTCAGAGAAGTTGATTAATTGGCCTATGATTTCATAGATTAAAGGTAGTTGACCCTTGAGTTCGCCATTGCTCCCAAATCCCTCTTTTGGCACTCAGCGTAGTTTGGTAGAATCTGTGCATCAGTAGAATCAAGGTACAGGTACAGATGGGGAAAATTCACAAAGTCACATTTTGTTATATGTTAATTTTTTTTTTTAGAGTTTTCCCTTAGAATACTGGTTAATCCAAGAGTTTGTTCTAATGTGTGTGACAGATGAGCTGGTAACCAGTACCTTGTTCTTACCATGAAAGTTTTTAGAGCAGATCTTACTTAGCTGTGGCCACAAGACATACGTTTTTGTTTGATAAGCAAGATCAGGTAAATCCTGGTCTATTTTACCTGTTAGTGACATTATGTACATATATCTAAATGTTTTTAAGTATTTTTAGAGGTTTTCTTTTTGTTTTGCTTTTGGTTTTTTTGTTCTTCTTCCATGGCTTTTAAAAATCTTTTCCTGATTACTTTCTTCTCTGGTTTCCCTGGTGTTCTTTTCTTCTATTATTTTATTCCTTTCTGCCAGCCCCATTTTTCTATACCTAAAATGAAAAGCACATGGAAATTTAGGGTTGTAAGGACTCTTAGAGGATAACCAAAGTACATTCATATTTCAACCGGTATTTAATACCTGGAAGAATGGTTGTTCAGGTGGAGAATCTGAAACTCAAAGTAACTTATTCAAGTATAGGAGGTAGCAGAAGTAACATTTGAACTCATTTTAAAGCCCATTACTCTGGTTTCTGAATCATCATGTAAGTGAGTGTTTGAATAATAGAAAGGAAGAGGGAATGGGTCTAATTAAACCAATGGAAAAGGATAAGAATGAAATTAGCTAGAGAACCCAGTCGAAGTAAGTAAGAATGGAATTATCAGGGAAATGCTAAATTTGAAGAGAAACAATTTCAGGGTTGGTAGGAGTATGCATTTTACCAAAAAGATCAGAATATTGGCCTTCTGACAAGTTTGATGAAGATAAATTAGAGGAACAAAAACACAAAAGACATTGGGAGTTATCCAAAAAGGCATATTAAAATAGGTTTCAAAGGAAGTCCTGAATAGGTCACTGCATTTTTGTTTGTTTAATTAGAGGAATGAACAAACTTCAAGCTTTCTATTGAAAGATTTTTTTAAAAAAATGAGCCATTGGGAAGAGTCTCTATGAGATATAGAAATGTCCTATTATGTTCTTTCACCCCAGATTTCACAGGAGTGGCTTAGAGTGCCTTGAGTGCTAGGGAGCTGAAGTTCGCTGATATACATAGATCTGTGGCCCAGGGCAGGTGTCCCCTATCCTTGGCCTCACTTTTTCCAAGTGTCTGATGACCTACCCATGTACATGTAAAGCAGGGGTAAGATTGGCTGGCAAATAAGTCATGGAGCTTCAATTGGGTTTTTGGTAACATGCTTATGTTGGAAATGAATACCTGATTGAGTCTCCATTTTGGTGATTTCCAGAAACAGGTAAATGCAGAGCTTCTAGGTTGGTGATTAGCGTTTATCTTTTCAGTAATCTGCTTTGATGATCTGAATATTTAAAGGTTGGAGACTGCCATGAAGCCATGCAGAAGAAAGATCTGGAAGCGGGTGACACTTTCAGTATATACAGTGTCTCCCAGTTCCAGGTTTTTCTCTCTGTGTATGTATAGTACTTAGAGAAATTCAACCACCAAGACTCAGTTCTTCTAGAAGTCTCTCTCCTTGAGTATGAAGATTTTTAAGGCTTTGCTAGTTTATGTAGACCTGAACAAGGAAGGACCAGTATAGAATAGGAAATCCAATTTTATTATTTTTAGTTTCAATTTTTATTGAGAAAAATACTCCCAATAGCAAATATACATTTGTATTTTGACATTTGTAGGTTCAGCCTTTCAACATTTCAAATATTTCAGGGCGTTCTCTGTAGTGTTTTAGGGTGAAGGGAAGCAACAGGGACTTCCTAAGTGGTTTTTATGCTGAGAAACAAAGAATGTCATTTTCCAGTGACACAGATTAGTCTTTGAATCAGAGATAGATAATGGACAAGGGACAAGGAAACTGTAACTTTCTACCTCATTTTAGGTTATCAAGTTTGTTCCAGTTTAGATAGCAGAAGTTATGTCAACCATTAAGTAGATTTTCAGTTTATCCTTGAGGACAGATGGTTTATGAGAACAAATAATACTTTGGGTATGCCATTGTATTGGCTGTAACTATTTGTTATGGAACTAAAAGTGAGTCTTCATTGGTTGTTAAATGTTGGGGAGGCGGAGTCTAAAATACGTAACTAAAATATTTTTTTAAAACAGAGGCCATATTATAATTATACCCAGAAACATAATATAATATAGAGAAGGACTGATCTTCCCCCAGATTTTGTTTTTGTTTTCTTTTTTTAGAGTGGGCACCAAGACAGGAGCTAGCAGAGTTTTTTTTAAAATACACAAATTTGCTCATTTTTGTTGTCTTTTTGCTTTAAAATCTTTTCAGCAAACCATCTATGGAAAATTTACAGTCTACAAAAATTGAGGAAGACTTCAGTCTTACTAACAAGGTAAAATGGTCTCTTGTGAACTAACTGATTTTCTCAGGTGTACTCTAGTTCCATATAGTGTTTACTTTTCATGTTTAGCAGTGCTATAATTATCACTATTTTATGTTGGTAATATAAAGTTGGTCAGATAAAAACATTTTATAAAAATATGACTAGTTGATTTAAAAAATTTATTTTTTACTTTAGTAAATAATAAATATTTGGTAAATACTTTGAGACGGTGAAGGCAAAAAAATGGAATGGGCTGGAGATGACCTAGTGACAGGTTACAAGAATATTTTCCACTATAAAGAATATATAAATTTTCGTAAATGTTTGTTTACATAAGTATTCTTACTGTGACTTTTAAAATTATTCCGTTGTAACTTAATGAAACTCTTGCTTAAATTTATCTTTAATGGATTCAGTTACTTGTAGTAATCAAGGAATTTCTCTGATAGTGTTATATTCCTAAACTGTACCACATGGGTTTTTTTTGGCATTTATTATTTTGATATCATGTAGGTTTTAGGAGAGAGCTTTTTCTCAGTTTCCCTTCTTGGTTCTTGGATTACATGGAAATAATATTAGAAATTGTGAAAATTTATTTGGGCATGGTGGTACATGCCTGTAGTTCCAGCTACCAGGGAGGCTGAAGCAGGAAAATTGCTTGAACCCAAGAGTGGGCAACATAGCTAGACCTTATCCCTAATTAGAAAAACAATGTAGAAATTTAGAAATGTAAATTCTCTTTCTCACAATCTGTATTGCTAAGGGATGCCAGTGTGTTATTTTAAGTTATTTCATGAAAAATATACTTTAAAGTCTTTGTCTAAATGAAGAATGCTGGTTTTACCCCAAGTAAACAACCAGTTCTGGAAGCAAAGACTCTTAGTAAGGATATGGTAAGATTTTAATTTCAGAATTTTTAAATTGTAGTTTTTAAACATATTATTCAAAGATCTTTGATCACATTTGAAATTTTTAAATTTCAGAAGATTCTGTATTTAGTTGTTTAAATAATCATTTTGAAGCTCTTGCATCACTATGAAGTACTGGAGGTTAGAAAACATACTTGTGTGCATACTAGAGTACCCAGAATACAGTCTAAAAAGTGTTTTAGAGGTTTTCAATGTGAATAAATATGTAGACAAATGAATTTTTGTATAATGGAATGTTACAAGTAAGATCATATGAATAATATATCTAATAATTAAATTTAATGCATATGAAAATATGGCTTAAATTTATATTTTCTATTAATGGTTAGAATACAAAAGTTCAGGGGAGATATATTGAAAAAATAAGTCTTAAGTAAGAAGTCAGTAAGTTAGAGATATGTAGTAAATAGGAAAGCAGTTTACACTGTATTTCTAGTATCCTCCAAGTGGAGTTTAGATTTTAAAAATTTAATATATTTTAGTCACACCTCATGTTCTATTAAACATTTCTTTTCAAGCAATACATTACCCTTTAGGATTCTGATTACCAATCGTTTCTTCAGGTGAAAAGATTATGAATTATCCTTTAAAAAAATTTTTTTTCTCTGTAGTAAGAATGTTCTAGCTTATAGATAGCGGCTGAAGACTATGTATGTTTTAACCAATTGAATGTCTTATATAATAAGAAAATTAAAATCATTATTACACAGGTATTATCAATAACTAATTGTAGTATAAATACTGATCAGCATTATAGGAATATATTATAAACAAAAGTCGCTATTGTATGTATTTCATCACATATTGTACAGTAGTTTTTTTGTTTTGTTTTGTTTTTTTTCTTGTTTCATGACTGGAGCTCGTACTTGATTGACTGGTCATGTCTGTTATTTGTTTCTCCCTTCTCCTCTGCCTTTTCAAAAATGATTTACCTGAGACATCTTTTTCACGGAATACATTTCTTCAGTGTCTGGTTTTTAGGGCATCTCTGTCTCAATTCTCAACATATTTAAGTTACAGATTTCTACTTAGTCATTATGTATGGCTTTCAATTATCAGTCATTGCCCTTCCTACCCATGACTTTTTCTCTTTTTTCTGTTTCATGGAAGAAACCAAATTATATAATTATTTAAATTTAGGTTTTGAAATACAGAATAGAAACAACCTATACTATTTCAATGTAAACCCATTTAATTAAGGTACTATAATTACTAAACTCTCACATTTTTCCACACAAGAAGTAATTAATACAACTATAAATCATGAAGAGATATCACATAATATAATACATAATTTAAACTTTTTGATGTTAATTATGTGTACAATATTATAAACAATGTAAGGATAAATTTTTGTCCCAGGTTATTTTGCTTAAAAAATACTCTAATGGATACAACTAGTTTTTCGTAATAATCAATTAGATGAAGAGGATGAAAGGAAATAATTCATTGAAGAAGGGTAAGATAAACATAGAGACTGCATAAAAGAGTCAAGGTGAGACAGATTATTATAAAATACAGCAAAAGGGTGGTTTAAATGAGTGCCTGAACTCTCTAGAATGAAATATGATATAAATTATTTAAAATAAAAATTAAGAAATGATAGCCAGGCAATAAAATACTGCTCAGTTGTTTTTGATTGACTTATAACTGATTTTGTCAAAAAACTGAAAGAAAATATAAAGACAACTACAGGTAAGAGTAATTTGTTGTACTATTTAAAATAGCTAGAAGAGAATAATCTAAATATTTGTAGCATAAAGGACAGATTGATACTTAAGGTGATTAATATCTCAATTATTCTGATTTGATATATAAATGTATTGAGTTATAATGTGTAACCCCAAAACATGTATGTTTATATTATATCAAGTAAAAAAATTATTAAAAAGAAAAGAAAATTTAATTCTCACTTCTTTTAGTAAATTTATTTTTTATATTTAATCTATTTTTACTTATATTAATGGAGAATGCAAAGTGAGATCTGTTTTAAGACTTGTCAGCTTAATTGAGTTATTAATTTTTGACTCTTTGCTTTCTTGTTTAAGATTTCTAATTTAATGTTTGAAATATTCTTAGGTTGTTAACCTCATTTATCTTACTCTTTGGAATAACCTGGATAGCAGTTTTGAATATTTTTGTTAATAGAGATTAAAATAATAAGCAAGCATTTTATTTAATCTTGTTACTAAAATTAAATATTCTGGTCATATGAACAAGGTTTTTATCTGGATCTCTTAAAAAACAAAAATCATTTTTAAGCTACAACACTCTCAAAGAATTAAATATAGAAATTAATCATCTCAAGGTATATTCTGACATCTTTTGCTCTTAGCATCTATATGTAATGGTATTATATGCACACATCAAATGAATGTGATTGATATTTGTGAATTTTTAAAAGTAAAGTACTTAGTATCATAGAATTATATGTATGGAAAGATTGTTAACAGAATATACAAAATTATTACTAGAAGTTTTTTTTACTCTTAAAAACATATCTTGCAGTGGGCACATTGTGACTTGAACATTTTAGTTTCTTCATTTCTCCTGTGAATATGGAAGAATGCTTGACAATCATAGATATAGGTAAAAAACTATTAAATCTTCAACTTGAATAATTATAGCTTAATTAGATTTATATGAAATCTTTTTTTTCCCAATTTTGAACTACCATCCTATATGATGTAAGTAGGCAATTTGAGCTAGCATTGTACTGTTTACAGGAACATAAGAAAAGTATGTGAATTTTAAAACAGGGTTTCACATTTCTATCTCACCTTATAGTAGTACTTAAAAATGCCTTATAATTCTATTATTAGTCAAGGGTTTCTCTTGTACAATTAAAACTTTAAAGGTAAAATTTTATAAAGGCCCTTTTGCAGAACCTTCAATTGGTGTTTTAGAATTAAATGTTTGCATTCAATTCTACTATGTATATTGCAAGTAATATTTCAGAAATAAATATTTACCAATATAAATACAATTATATTCTCAAAATGAATTTGGACATATATAATGGAGAAACTTAATCCCATGTTTTCCTGTCTCCTTTGATTTCATTTTAAAAATTTCAGCATTCTGCAGTAGGTTTACGTGATTTAATTCTTCCCATTTAGTCTATCTTATAAATATTTATCTTCTTAACACTTATGTAATTTTCCTGATGTAGGTCATCTACTCAGACTTCAAATGTATTTATGTAGATCTTTCTTCCAAGCTCCTTGGATGCCTCAAATTGTATGGGTCTCAAACGGAAAACGTCATTTTTATTATTTTCCCGACTCTTTTCTGACTCTTTGTAATCTACCCTGTCTTCTGGTTTCCCCATCCTAGTAAATAACACCTAGGAAGTAGCAGTGAAACGCTCCAGCACTTCAACCTGTACTTCGAGTCTCCCCCACAACCTACACGTCAACCCTCCTCCACATCACCAATCCAGTCACACATCAAATTTTGTATTTTCTACCTTCTTAAACTTTTCCATCCCTTATTGCCATAATTAACTCTTTACCTATAATTTTGAAGAACTTTTAGCTTTGCCCCATATCCCCATGTTCATCTATCTTTACATTGCTGGAAGGGTGCACTTTCTAAAATATATTTGTAATGATGTAACTCATCTGCACATTGAGTAAATACCCACAACACGAAGGGATAAGTTCACATTCTAGCATGACAAGTATCTTATATGGTCTGGCCCCATTGTACCTCATCATCTCATTTCCTCTGACTGTATTCTAGTTTTATCACATCACTTTGGCACTCCTAATTTGCCGTGTTATTTCATGCCTTACTGTTTTGCACATGTTATTGCACCTAGACTCCTAGAGCCTTTGTATCCTGACTCGGCACTTTGTCTCTCTTTCCAAATATGGCCCAATTATGGCAGTGTGTTGAGTTATGTTAGGATATAAAAAGGTGATTTGACATTATTTGCTCACATCTGCATGTGTTCATAAGAAATAATTTTCTGACATTTATCAGAACATACTTTACAATCATGTGTGAAGCAGATAACAGCTGCATAGAGCAATTATGCTCCTTTTCAGGATTAATATAAGAAGCCAGTATAGAATAATGCAAAAGAAAATGTGGCTTAGAAGTCACTAGGAATCTATTTGAGTTCTGAAGTTAAGTTGGTCTGAAAACTAAATAATTTCTCTGTGTTCGCCTATGAGCAAATAAATGATTCTGTGTATATCTAGACTGTAAGAAAGCTCTAAATGGATTCAGAGAGAATTAGTTTAACTGTAGTCTTAGTCTTATACAACTTGGAACTTGAAAAGATCATGCCTGAGACTTGAATGTATTGGTATACTTTCATTTTCCAGTATAGATCTGAAGGAACATTTCAGGAGTTGGATAAACATGAGAAATAGGACACCTGTAAAACTATATATAACACCAATTTGGTTGAGTAGTGTTTTAATAAGTAGACATTCTTTTCACAAATAGAACTCTTTGAGTCCCTCTGTGGCTGCCATGTTTGCAACCACATACATATCAAATAATTATGATGTATTCTAAGGTCACAACTGTGAAGGTGGAAGAGACAGGAAAGGCCTCACCAGTTATCTAAAGCAGCAGTACTGTAGTGGTAACAGCAATGACTGGATGTCAAAGATAAGTCTGTATTTTGGTTCTGTCACTTACTAGCTATGGGAACTAGGAAAAAAATTATTTAACCTGATGAAATACCAATAACCTTGTTTATAAAAATAGTGCTCATATCTACCTCTTAGGTACGAGTGATGAAATAACATTGTAACAAGTGTGAAAACATCTTGTAAACTGAAAAAGTCTTTATACAAATATAAGACAAAATGATCAAAGTGGCATTTAAATGAAAGCAGTACTGTTAGGACAAGAACGTGGAGTAAGAACAGGCTTGCGGATTTCTAATTTGTGGTAAAGGGATGGTAACTTGCAGCAGACTACTACTACAGATTTTCCATAGAAACAAAGCAGTTTGGAAAGTTAGACTTTCCTGAGGAGATTTTAAACTTTTTGGCCTGGAGCTATTTCTTTTTGAGTACCCACTGTGTGCTAGGCAGTGAGTCTCTGAATGTCCAAGATGAGGGATTATGCTATGGTAGTACGAAGAGAATAACAAATACAAAACACTTCTAAGTCACTATAACTCTTTCTTAAAATCAAAACAAAGAATGTTAGGATAGAGAATTGAAGAACTTTCTATTTAGCATGGGTATGAGAGTGGCAGGGGAATTCTATGGTCAGGGTAGATCTTTCTGAGACTGCCATTTAATCTCCCTTCGCAAAGATGAGGAGTATGCCATGTGAAAGCCTAGGATGAAGACATTCTGAGCAGATTGAACAGTAGATCATCTTTGTTCATTTTGTTCTTAACAACCTAGAATGACTAGGAAGCAGAAAGTGGCATAACCACCAATGTCTTCATCATCCTCATTATTCTAAGGTGAAGAAAAATCTGCAGATATGTATCTGGCACATATTAGATGTTTCATGAATAGATGTTTGTTGTTTGTTTTTATTTTATTTTGTTTTCTTTTCTTTTTCTTTTTTTTTTTTTTTTGAGATGGAGTCTAATTCTGTCACCAGGCTGGAGTGCTCAGCTCACTGCAACCTCTGCCTCCTGGTTTCAAGCCATTATCCTACTTCAGTCTCCTGAGTAGCTGGAACTATAGAAACGTGCCACCATGCCCAGCTAATGTTTTTTCAGTAGAGACAGAGTTCACCATGCTGGCCAGGATGGTGTTGATCTCCTGACCTCATAATGTGACTGCCTCGGCCTCCCAAAGTCCTGGGATTATAGGTGTGAGCCACTGTGCCCAGATGAATATGTGTTTTATTCTTTGCTTTTTATGAAAGCTTGCTCTACTTTTCTGAAGTTATGTCTTAACAATTCATTGCGTGCTTTATCTAATAATTGTTTTCATTCCTGTAAAAATAGCATAAATATACATATTCCTTATAAATCTTTCATTTTATTCAAGCATTTCTTTATCAGCAAAATGCTTATCAAAACTATTCTTATTATTTTAAGCCCTTGTTTTCCTAAATGAAACAGCTTCTACAGAGTTCTGTTTCTACTGCACATGACATAGTCTGAGAATTCTCTTCATTCCATGTATAGTTTTTAACAGAAATTTTGTAATTATACATATGTCAAATGTTTAATCGCATTGTATTCTGTTTGAAATGCCCTATTATATTTGGTGATGACTACACAGTAAGGCAGATGCTTTGTACTTAATTCCTTTTTGAAATATGCCCACTAGTGAATTTCGTTGTGAATGTGATTTATTTTCCACGCTCAGTAGCCTAGTCAATAGCCACATGAAGATAAAAGATAAGCATGATCCACAGAACATATATGAGGTTTTCTCTTGAAACGTTTCGATTTTCAATATGTGAACAGCCTTAAATCTAATTATCTTTAATGTAAAAAAAAATTGTGTTTTACAAAAGATTTTAAATAGAAAATATTGATGGTAGTCATTATTATTTTTTAAATTGAAATTATTTATTGAGGCAGGCCATGGTGGCTCACGTGAGACTGTAATCTCAGTGCTTTGGGAGGCTGAGGCGGGAGGATCACTTGAGATCAGGAGTTTGAGACCAACCTGGCCAACATGGTGAAACCTGTCTGTACTAAAAATACAAAAAAATTAGCCAGAGGTGGTGGCTCATACCTGTAGTCCTGGCTACTCAGAAGGCTGAGATAGGAGAAATGCTGGAACCTAGGAGACAGAGGTTGCAGTAGGAGGAGATCATACCACTGGGCAACCCTGTGAGACTTTGTTAAAGAAAAAAAAATTTTAAAAAGAGGTTATATATTGATATTACTTTTAATAGGTTAACTCTGAGAGGGCTGCACAGAATTATGTATGTTTACCTGAGGCTACATATGAAAAAGAAATCAAGACAATACATGGAAAAATAGAAGGTAAGAATCATTTTTTAATTAAAATATCATTTAACTAAATGTTTGTCAAATGCATGAGGACTCATAAACTCTTATAGCCAAAGAAAATTATTCTCTAAATGGATAGCATGGAAGAGCAAAAGGAATGAAAGTTATATGTCTTCTCAGGTGTTGACAACAGATGATATTCAGGGTGCCAAAAATAAAGAGCTGAATTATTCATTTAAATTCAAGATACTCAAGGTTATCTGAGAAAAGAAGTAAAAGAGGAAATGAAGACTGAGGAAGACAGAGAGTACATGAGGGTTATATAATGGAGGCTGGTAAAATAAAATAATTCTATAGAAAAAGCTGGATCATGGTTAAAAAGTTGGAAAAAATATAGTGACCTTCTGTTACCAAAACTTGCCAGAGAATTTAGCAAACATGTTGTCACTCCTGTCTTTCTCACTGGTGGGAAGGCATTAGGGATGGAAACACGTGACCATGGAGAGTTGTGATTCATCTGCCACAGGTGACTATAAGCATACTTTGCACAGCCATGTATGTATGTAATTCGTCATACACTCTCAGTATAGACCAGAAGTTTTCAATCTTCAGAAAATCAGCTGAAGAGCTTGTTAACAGTGCACAAAGTGATACAACAGACTTGAGATTCTGACATTTTAATAAGTTCTCAAGTGATAGTGATGCTGGTGCTTCTTGTACCTCACTCTTAAGTAGCAAGGGAATAACTTTTCCTTTGGAAAAATCTGAAAGAAGGGCAGTTGGATAGAAGGTCAACACATAACAGGGTCAAGGGAAAGCATTATATTGCTCTTATTTCTGAGTATGTTTCTGTCCAGAGGGGTGAAAAAGGAGGTAAAGAAATAGTAATTACAGATGTCAGATACTACCCCTCATCAAAGAGAAAGAAAGTGGTGGGAAAATAGATCTTTTTTTTTTTTTTTTTTTTTTTTTGAGACGGAGTTTTGCTCTTGTTACCCAGGCTGGAGTGCAATGGCGCGATCTCGGCTCACCGCAACCTCCGCCTCCTGGGTTCAGGCAATTCTCCTGCCTCAGCCTCCTGAGTAGCTGGGATTACAGGCACGAGCCGCCATGCCCAGCTAATTTTTTAGTATTTTTAGTAGAGACGGGGTTTCACCTTGTTGACCAGGATGGTCTCGATCTCTCGACCTCGTGATCCACCCGCCTCGGCCTCCCAAAGTGCTGGGATTACAGGCTTGAGCCACCGCGCCCGGCAAATTTACTTTTTAAAACCAGATATACACTTCTTAGATGTCAAATGATAAAGGATACCCTTAAGGATTAAATCATCATTTAAGTTTTAGTTATGCATGTTTGCTTTCTTTTAAGTTGATTTAAATAGTTGTAATTTATACTTTTTGTTGATAAGGAAGACTGGATAATTAATATGTTAGTAATTCATTTTCTGTCTCATTGGACTGAAACACTTCAATTATTGTGTGGGCCTTGATTTAATCCTATAACGTGGGAACATTGGTTACTTAAGGCAATTATTTTTTTCCTATATATTTCTGATGTTTCTCCAAGGTGTCACAAGCTGACTCTGAACATATTGCTGCATTTGGGGAGAGCTATGTCATTGTAATTAAAGCAGTTCTTACTTTACATGAAATTAAAGTTTTTTAAGCTTATCTTCCTAAAACATACACACTTCCAAAGCACACCCAATGTACTGCCATGGTATATTAAAATTTAAAGGGTTGGACATATATTTAACTAACATCAAAAAGTTAATATCCTTAAAAAATCTTGTTGATTGATAAATAATCTTTTTTGAAGAACTGCATGATAGAGATTGCTGAGTCGATCAAACTAATACTAAAAAATAAAAATTTGTAAAGAAATGAGAGCTGAAAAGTAATAAAGGTTGTCTGAATGAATAGCAAACATAGGACGTACTGTGTTTCATGGGTGAAAAAGGATATGACTGCTTTGTGAAGAAATAATTTATACAAGTGAGTCAAATTTCTAGTTTTCTGCATTCTAATGACATAAAGTTAATTTTTATATTGTTAAGATTTCAATTTTAATGGATTAACTATAGAACTTGCTATTGTAATCTACCAAAAGAATATGCAGGCTACAGAAGAAAAATATATTCTTGAATGAAAATAGGTTTGTATATGTTTTTGAAATGTATAGTAGAGAAATGTTCTCATGAATGCATCTTTGATTAACCTTTTACAGATCAGATGTTCCCATCAGAATCTAAAGAAGGGAAAGATGAAAAAAATTCTTGGGATTCTGAGGTACTGTGTATTACTGAATTTTTTTAATGTTAGTTTTGCATGATGTGACAACAGTAAAACCAGAGGCTTAGATTTATTTTCTCACCTTTGCATATGTCACCCCAAAATTATTTTTTCTGATTATTTTAGAATGTACTGTATAAAGAATCTATGTGCTAAGTAGATTACTTCTTCATAGTGAAATTCTGCTCATCTGTAGGATTAAATTAAGAAGCCATTTAGGTATAGTGTAAAAAATAAGGCTTAGAACTCACTAGGAATTCACATGGAATCTGCAGTAAGTTTGTCTAAAAACTAAAGAATTACAGTGAGTCCAGCTATGGTCAAATGCATGATGTGGTATATCTATATGTATAAAAGTTCTAACTGGATTCATAGAGAGACAGTTTAAACTGTAGTTTTGTAAAACTTGGGACCTGAAAAGATAATGCCTGGAAAATGGAAGTATTGAATTATTTTACTATTCAGTATAGATCTGAGGGAACATTTCAGGAGAAAGAAAAGCATGAGGAATAGGAAAGCCATGGGACTATAATAACAACAGTTTGGTTGAGTAGTATTTTTAAAAATAGAAATTATGTTCACAAATATAAACTTTTGAGTCCCTTTGTGGCAGTCAAGCTGCAGCAGCAGTAAGCATCAAACAATAGCGACGTATTTTAAGGTCACAGCTGTGGAATGACATAGAAGGTATCTGACCTCTTAGAAACAAGAAGCTGCTGCATGGTGGTCACAGCAAAGGTTGGAAGTTAATAGACAAGTAGATTTTATCTAATTTGTCATTAGACACAAAGACTTGTTTGCTTTCATTTAGAGATGACACAATGTTTTTTCTTATCACATTTTCACTTTATTCAAGCACTGTTTCAACCATCATAAATTTTATCAGAAATGTTCTGATTATTTTTTGCCCCTGTTTACCTAAATAAAGCAGTATTTTGGATTTTCTGTGCAGGCATTATATGACAGACTCTGAAAGCTGTCTTCATGACATGCATCATTTTTAACACTAAACAATTCTATAGTCATGAATATTTTAAATGTTTAATGCAGTATGTGTTATGGTAAGTAGCAAGTGTTTTGTATTTTGTTCGAAGTGCCATATTTATTTTTTATGAGAACTGCAACGTAAGTTAGATATTTTCAAGTGAGTTACTTTTTGAAATACGCAAGAGTGATTTTTTTTTTGGAAATGTGATTGATTTTTCCTGCTCAGGAACCAAGTTAATAGCCACATGAAGGTAAAGAAAAGCTTGATCTAGAGAGCATGTATGAAGTTTTGCACCAAAATGTTTTGGTTTTCAATACATGTCTGCCCTTAAATCAAATTGCCTTTAAAGTAGGAAATTTTGCTTTAAAAATTGCCTTTTAATTAGGAAATTTTGATACTCGTAATTATTAGGATTTTTAAATTGAACTTATTTATTGGTATTACTTTTAACAGAGTCTTCCTGAGAGTGTTCAACAGAACTATGTGTGTTTACCTGAGGCTACATATCAAAAAGAAATCAAGACAATAAATGGAAAATTAGAAGGTAAGAATCATTTTTTTTAATTTAACAGGTCTTTTGACCACATATTTCTCTAAACTCATGAGGAAGGATACACACTAATAGCCAAAGAAAAGTACCTCCTAAATGCCCAGCATGGAAAAGAGAGAAGTGAAATGGTGATAAGTGATACGTCCTATCAGGTGTTGGCAACAGACTGTATTGAGAGTGCTGAAAAGGAGCTGAATTATTAGTTCGAATTCAAGATATTCCAAGACCTGAGGAAAATCAGAAAATTAGAAAGAAGGAAGTAGTAAAAGACGAAATAAAGTCTGAGAAAGACAAAGTATATGAAGCAACTGGAAGCAGGTTTATGTAATGAAGGATGGTAACTGAAATTATTCTTCAGAAAAAGATAGGGTATGATTAGAAATTTAGGAAGAATATAAAGTGACCTTCTAGTACCAAAATGTACCAGAGAATCACAGCATAAATATTCTGTCTCTTCCTGCCTTTCTCACTGGTAGGATGCCATTAGGGATGGAAGCACCATACCATGGAGAACTGTGTTCTATTTACAGTAGGTGAAAATAAGCATCTAACTACAGCCGCACATGTATATAATTTGTCATATACAATCAGCGTAGACCAGAAGTTTTCAAACTTAAGAAAATCAGCTGGAAACCTTGTTAACAATTCACACTGTGATTCAGCAGACTTGGGATTCTGCATTTTCAGTAAGTTCTCATGCAATGCTGATGCTGCTGGTCCTTGGACCTTGCTTTGAGTGGCAAAAGTAGAAGCCTTCATTGGAAAAGTGTGGAAGAAGAGCAATTGATAGAAGGTCAAGACATAACAGGGTCAAGAGAAAGCATTATATTGCTCTTATTTTTGAGTATGTTTTTTAGCCAGAGGAGAAGGAGAAAGGGACAATGCATTAGAAATTATAGATGGAAGATATTATCACTAAACCAAGGAAAAGAGTGAGAAAAATAATTTTAACAGGTGTTCAATGGGAAGAATCAAGAACACAATCTAGAGATTATTTTTTGCCAAGGAAGAGAGATTGTAGGGCAGGAAGCAGGGTACAAGAGAGAAGCCAGCTAGAGTATTTTGGAGTTTCTAAGAAGGAAAATTCAGTGAACTCACTTAAGAAGCATTTAGAATATTTTTACTGCAGAATGTTAGAGTGTGGATGCTTCAGGGACTACTGGAATCAGGAGAATTACTATAATTGGATTAAACCTCAGTGATTCATTACTTTTCTTTGTTACTATAAGGCATCAAAGATATGTAAATTCTGTTGATATTAGCAATTTGAATAAGATATACTTGAATGTAAGAGCCTTGGTTTTATTTTTAAGGAAGCAAATTGTGTTGGTAAAATTGGTGTTTTATAAAAATTCATTAGAGAATAACATGATACACCAAACCAGACTAACTTTAAAAACCATAAATTTCTAAATCTATCGTTTGAATACTTAAATTGTTAGTATTAATAGAATATTGTACCATTTTAATACAGAAAAAGTTAATATTTAATAAGTCTGTTGCAACTAATTTTTTAAAAAATATATTAATGTTGAAAGCTTATTCTACATGCTTTTCCTGGTGAGTTTTATACATCTTCCTCTATAAGTGGACCAAGAAATATTCAGACCGGCTAAGCTAGAAGATACAAAAATGTAAGCACACTATTATACTACATGGTTATGGGAAACAATGAATATTTTAATTTATTATTATATCATAATATCCAATCTGATGAATTCATAACACATTCACAGATGAGATGTCAAGTCTACATTCTGCTGAATTCTCATCCTAACTGTGTACCTTATCAATGATAGGGCATATTAAAGAACATGATGAAAGTCTGTACTGTAATGATATAAATGATTGTAATATGTAATTAAAGACATCACATAGCATTCTACATTCAGTTTTGGCATGTACTTTCTCAGTGTCATCATTTGCTCCTCTGATTCAAGATGACTTCTCTTCTAATCACTCAGCATATATATATATAGGTATTAACACTTTTTGCAAAGATCATATATAAATGGTTATACAATGTAGTTATCATTTTACAACAAATATTTTTGTTCAGCAATTAGCTTGTTTTCCTTTATTTTAAGATTTCATAGTGCACCATCTTTACACTACATTTAATTTGACTGTCTTCATGGTGACAGGAAAATCGACATAAATATTATTACAAATGTCAACAAGCTTTGGTTTAAGTGTGTGTGCTGCTTCACGCTATATTAGAAATTAAAATGAAATACTTAAAATACAAGGTGTATAGCCATACATTTCAATAGCCATTACAGATGGGCTCACTAATCTTTAGAACTATGCCATGTGACCTGTCATGACTCTAAATAATCCAGTGTACACTGTTGTAAAAATTAAAGTAATAAAAAAATAACTAAAGTAGTATTTTTCTACTGGTTTCCTCTGCATGGATCTTGACCTTTAGCGATGATCAGATCACAATTTAGAAACAGAGTTTTCTTTTCTTTTTTTTTTATTGTACTTTGGACTCTGGGGTACATGTACACATCCTGCATCTTGCAGGATTGTTACATAGGTATTTACATACCATGATAGTTTGGCAAAACCAGAGTTTTCTGCCATACATAGGATTCTTAAATGCCAAGTGAAAATGGTTCCCTCTCAACCTATTTTTTCCTTTTATCTTTTCTCAGAAACTTTAAAGCCTACTATTTTCTCTATAAAGGAAAATAATTTGGTTATATATTCATTTTCTGTCTCATGACGCTCTGCTTTCTTTGCACTTAATTGAAGACATACATTTATCATAGATTTACATAAACCGAGCAGATGAATTAATGGTGTTAGTATTTATATGAATTTCTGAGGTTTCTTCAGTGCTTCAGAAGTAAATTTTGAAGATATTAATGAAGTGAGAATGACCTTCTCATTGTAATTAAAGCAGTTTTTTATTTGAAGTGTATTGAATACAATTTTAAGTATTTTTTTCTAAAACACATTTATGCAATATGGTCATGTAAATTTAACCTTAAAATGATTAGACATAAATTCTGTGTGTTTTGGAGAGTTTATAATCATGAAGTATCTTATTTATTAATCAATCATCTCTCATGGAAAACAATATATATAGTAGATATTTCAGATATATTAAAGTAAGTTGTACTGAAAAATAAAAAAGGAGAGATAAATAGGAAGATAAACATGTTTTATTAATGTTATTTGATGAAATTAGCTATATTTCAATGTAAAAGAAATGTCTGTTTTTCTGGAAGCTTTTTGTAAGATCTTTTCTTAAGAGTAGTTTAACAACTCACACCATATAACAAATATAATTAATTTTAGGAACAAAACAATTTTAGAATTCATTCCTTGAACACTAAAACTGTTTTTTTAAAATAAACATTATTCTAACATTGAAATATACAAGTTAATGATACTTAAAAATCTCTGGAAATACACTTCTATTTTCTGATACTTTCATATTAGATTTTTTCTTTTCTTTTTTTTTTTTTTTGAGGCAAATGTTGATCTGTCATCCATGCTGGAGTGTAGTGGCATGACCTTGGCTCATGCAACCTCTGTCTCCTGGGTTCAAGTGATTCTCCTGCCAAGTAGCTGGGATTACAGGCATGCAGCACTATTCCTGGCTAAGTTTTGTATTTTTAGTGGAGACAAGGTTTTGCTGTTTTGGCCAGGCAGGATTGGAACTCCTGAACAGGAGTGATCCGCCCTCCTTGGCCTTCCAAAGTGCTGAAGTTACAGGCATGAGCGACTGCACCTGACCTGTATTAGTTTTTTGATGTGTATGCTTTGACCACTGTATAAGTGGATCAGGAAATTTTAAGAGGGCTAAACTAGAGAACCCCATAAAAGTGAAATTACTAGTATTTCACATAGATAAAAATAATGAATATATTTATTACCTTTTATTCCATAAGTAGATATTTATGGTGATAAATTTAGGACATTCTCTTCAATGATAAGTAAATTGTGGCTTTGAACTCTCATCACAACTTTGCAGTTCCTAAATTTCAGGACAAATTGAAGAACATGATAGCTACCTGTAGTATAATGACATAAATGATTCTGATGTGCTTCTTTAACAATATGCAATAGCATTCTACCATTAGCCTGGAGATTTATTTTCTTTGGGTATTGACTTGTTCATCTTATTAAATATAACTTATTTTTTTATACGGCAGCTTACTCCCACTGGTACTGGGAGTGTTCTGCTTCAGTTATCATCACTCTAAACATATTGTCATTGTTGAAATCTTCACAGCATGTTTTATGAAATCTGTTTTTAAAATTATCTTAGGTATATTCTGTTATATTGGCATGTTAACTAATACAAAAACCCCAAATACCCCAAAACCTAATGTAATCCCTTTTAAAGCCAAGCATGAGGATTCATCTTCATATTCAGACTCTGTGAATGTTTGATAGATTTTGTCAGGCTTGCATGTAATCAATTACATATGTCCCTTTTTTTAGAGTCTCCTGATGAACATACTCTTCTGAAGGTAATAATTTTCTATTTTTATATTGAATATTGACTGCATATTTTGTGAAGTATTCATTATTAATTATTTTGTTTCCAAACCCATTTAGCCTTTCTGTGGAATGAAAGATTCTATTCCAAATAAAGCATTAGAATTAAAGGACATACAATCATTCAAAGCAGGTAAATTTTGTAATTTTAATTTTAATCTGGAAATAATATTATTAAAATAGTTGAAATATTGATAGCCTTTTTATTCCCAGTGTTTTTTTTTTTTTCTTCAAAATTTGACGGGAAAATTTGATACAAATAATGCCAATGTTAGTATTTATGTTTGAGAAAATGCCATTTACAAGCATAAGATTTAGAGATTTTTTTTTTTAAATTACACTTTACCTCATGTGGATCTGCTTTAATGATTCTAAAGCAGTTGGGCCTTGGAATCATTTTATACTACTAGTATTTAATTGCCTAGTGGTACAAAACAGCCTGAATTCGTTTTTGTTGTCATTGCCATAGTCATTGTTATAACTTCCAACAGCCGATTAGAAGTTTCAGAGACCCAGATTAGCAACTGGTGTGGGAGGGTGGTCTTTTAAGACTGACTTCAGCCTGTGGAATTTGGCACTATTTCCAGATAGGGTTGGAATTGAATAGAGATCAACAACCAGCTGGTTTGTGCTGCAGAATTGATTGCTCACTTGGTGATGGAGAAAATTCTCCACACAACTGGTTGCAGAAGTCTTCTGTTTTGATGATTGTTGTGGTGTGAGAGCATAGGGAAACCACGTGTGTATTTCTTTCTACACGCAGAGTAGATAAAGAGTGACTAGCATGTACTCTGTTCTAACTGCTTCTCGTTCATTTGTCTAGAAATTATACTTTCTAAGGTTGACACAATTCACTTATTCTGCTAATGATACAATTTTCTGTCAGTTTTACATGGTTCTGCTTGGATTAGGACTATTGTACAAGTGTATCAAATTGTGATAAATTCTGTTCTTCCTTGCCTTTGAGAACTACAAAGGAGGGGAAATAAAGAGTTTTTAATGCACTAATTGCCAACCAATAGTATACTTAATAATAATTTTACTATAGTCTCAATGTGTGATCCCAAAGGAATACTTTATAAGAAATCATCAAATCATCTGAGTCTTTGTAACAAAGTGTCAAAGTATTAGTGATTTTTATTTTGTTATTTATTTAGTTTTTCATTCACTTTTGAGACAGTGTCTCATTCTGTCACCCCAGCTGGAATGCAGTGGTACATTCTCGGCTCACTACCACCTCTGTCTTCCAGGTTCAAGGGACTCTCCTGTCGCAGACTCCTAAGTAGCTGGGATACAGGCATGCATCACCACCCCGGGCTATTTTTTCTTTTTTGTATTTTTGAATACCTACAGGGCTTCACCATATTGGTCAGGCTGGTCTTGAGCTCCTGACCTCGTGATCCACCTGCCTCAGCCTCCCAAAGTGCTGGGAATGCAGGTGTGAGCCACAGCTCCTGGCACATTCTAAAACAAGATCTGAAACATGCAGGGAAGTGTGCATGATGCTTTTAAATTAAGTCGAAGTGTTGCTGCGTCTCCAGGATGCTCTCAGACGCCTGGACCCCCCACGCGATCCTCCTGCTTGGCCTTCCCGAGTAGTTGTGATTACAGGCGCACGCCATCGCGCCCTCTTCTGTTTTAATATGCTTCATTTCTTATTTAAATTTGATGATTTAATGTGTTTTACTTTTTTTATTAATAGAGTATGTGAGTTCTGTAGAGTTTCTACTGAGGTAAGATTTTACAGATTTTTAAAACTTCTATGTTAACTGAGAAAATATAGAGAAAAGAAACCACTGTCTGTTGAGTAGGATGTGTTATGTGCTTAACATTTATTGTCTCATATGGTCAACACACAGCTTTGCAAAGTATCTCTGCTACTATCACCCACTTTATATTAATCAGACAACTTTGGTTCAGAGAGGATGATTAATTGGCCTATGATTTCACAGCTAAAAAGTAGTTGACCCTTGAGTTCACCCTCAGCCTACCTTGAGCCCGAAATCCATTCTCTTGTCCCTCAGCACAGATTGGTAGAGACCTGTGCATCAGTAGAATCAAGGTACAGGTCCCCATGGGATCAATTCACAAAGTCACATTTTGTTATATTATCAACTTTTTTCAGAATCTTCCCTTAGAACACTGGTTAATCCAATAGTTTGTTCTAATGTGTTTGACAGTTGCAGTGATAACCAGTATCTTGCTTTTACCATCAAAACTTCTAGAGCAGATCTTACTTAGCTCCGTCCAAAAGACGTAGGTGTTCGTTTCATAAGCAGGACCAAGTAAATCTTATAGATGCATTATTTTACCTGTTAGCAGAGATTATCACATATAGAAGTTGTTAAGTATATTTAGAGGTTATTTCTTATAGGTTTCTCTATTTACAGATTTCCCAGCTTAGTTTTTCTCAAAGGCAGTACACTGCCTAGTTGCATGCACTCTAGTTTTTCTTTTTCTTCCATGACTTTTAAAGTCTTTTCCTGATTACTTTCTTCTCTGGTTTCCTTGGTGTTTCCTTCTTTTCTTCTGTTATTTTATTCCTTTCTGCCAGCCCCATTTTCCTGTAGCTAAAATGAAAAGCACATGGAAATTTACGATTTCACATAATCTTGGAAAGTAATCAAAGGTCTTTCATATTTCAATCTGTATTTAATATTCTGTAAAAATGGTGGTTCAGGTGGAGAATCTGAAACTGAAAGTGACTTGTTTAAAGATAGGAGGTAGCAGAAGCAACATTTGAACTCATTTCAAAGCCCATTATTCTGGTTTCTATGTCATCATGTAAGTGAGTGTTTGAATAATAGAAAGGAAGAGGGAATGGGTCTAATTAAACTGATGTGGAAGGATAAGAACGGAATTAGCTGAAGAACCTAGTAAGTAGTTAAGAATAGAATTAGCAGGTGAAAGTCCAAGTTTGAAGAGAAACAATCTCAGGGTTGGTAGGACTAAGGATTTTGTCAAAGAGATCAGAATATTGGGCATTCTGACATGTTTGATGGAGATAAATTAGAGGAACAAAAACAGAAAAAAACTTTGGGAATTATCTAGAAAGGCAAATTAAAATAGGTTTCAAAGAAAGTCCTGAATAGGTCGCTGCTTTTTTGTTTAATTCGAGGAGGAAACACATTTCAAGCTTTCTGTTGAAAGATTAAAAAAAAACATGGGCCAGGGCACGGTGGCTCAAGCCTGTAATCCCAGCACTTTGGGAGGCCGAGGCGGGTGGATCACGAGGTCAAGAGATCGAGACCATCCTGGTCAACATGGTGAAACCCCGTCTCTACTAAAAATACTAAAAATTAGCTGGGCATGGTGGCGTGTGCCTGTAATCCCAGCTACTCAGGAGGCTGAGGCAGGAGAATTGCCTGAACCCAGGAGGCGGAGGTTGCGGTGAGCCGAGATCGTGCCATTGCACTCCAGCCTGGGTAACAAGAGCGAAACTCCATCTCAAAAAAAAAAAAAAAAAAAAATGAGCTACTGGGAAGAGTCTCTATGAGGTATAGAAATGTCCTATTATGTTCTTTCACCCCAGATTTCACAGGAGTGGCTTAGAGCCCCTTGAGAGCTAGGAGACTGAAGGTTGCTGAATTAAACAGATCTTTGGCCCAGGGCAGGTGTCCCCTACCCTTTGCCTCACTTTTTCCAAGTGTCTGATGACCTACCCATGTACATGTAAAGCAGGGGTAAGATTGGCTGGCATGTAAGTCATGGAGCTTCATTTTGGTTTTTGATAGCATGCTTATGATGGAGCCTCCATTTAGTTGATTTCCAGGAACAGGTAAATGCAGAGCTTCAAGGTTCATCATTAGATTTTATCTTTTCAGTAATCTGTGCTTTGATGAGCTGAATATTTAAAGGTTGGACACTGACATGAAGCCCTGCAGAAGAAACATCTGGAAGCGGGAGACTCTTTCACTATATATAGTGTCTGCCACTTCCAGGTCTTTCTCTTTGTGTATATATATTACTTAGAGAAATCCAACCACCAGGTCTCAGTTTTCTAGCAGTCTCTCTCCTGAGGTATAAGTACCTATGAAGATTTTTGAGGCTTTGCTAGACCCAAGCAAGGAAGGATCAGTATAGAATAAGAAATCCAATTTTATTATTTTTAATGTTTCAATTTTTGTTGAGAAAAATATTCTCAATAGCAAATATACATTTGTGTTTTCACATTTGTAGGCTCAGCTTTTCAATATTTCAAATATTTTAGGGTACTCTCTGTAGTGTTTTAGGGTGAAGATAGGCAACAGGTCCTTCTTAAGTGGTTTTTATGCTGAAAAACAAAAAATGTCATTTTCCAGTGACACAGATTGGTCTTTGAATCAGAGATAGATAACGGATAAGGGATAAGGTAACTGTATCTTTCTACCTCATTTTAGGTTATCAAGTTTGTTCCAGTTTAGACAACAAATAAGTCAACCATTACGTAGATTTTTAGTTTATCCTTGAGGACAGATGGGTTTCTGACTGACAAATTATACCTCGGGTATGCCAACATATTGGCTGTCACTATTTGTTATGGAACTAAGAGTGAGTTTTCATTGCATGTTACAATTTGGGGAGGTAGAGTCAAACATAGGTAACTAAAATTTTTTTAAAACAGAGGCCTTATTTAAATTATACCCAGAAACATGATATAATATACAGAGGACTGATCTTTCCCCAGATTTTGTTTTTCTTTTTTGTTATTTTTGAAGTGAGCACCAAGATAAGATTTTAAGTACATGAATTTGTTCATTTTATTGTATCTTATGCTTTAAAATCTTTTCAGCAAACCGACTATGGAAAATTTACAGTCTATAAAAGTTGAGGAAGACGTCAATCTTGCTACCAAGGTAAAATGTTCTCTTGTGAAGTCGATTTTCTCAGATGGATTCTAGTTCTGTGTAGTGTTTAGTTTTCCTGTTTAGTAGTGGTGTAAGTATCATTATTATAAGTTGGTAATATAAAGTTGGTCAGATAAAAGCATTTTATAGAAATATGACTAGTTAATTAAAAAATTTATACTTTTACTTCAGTCAATAACAAATGATTAGTAAATACTATGAGGGGTTCAAGGGCAAAAAATGGAATGGGCTGGAGAATATGTAGTGACAGGATCATTATATTAGAAGAAACTTTTCCACAATAGATTATATATAAAAATTGGTAAAGGTTTGTGGATAAGTATTCTTACTGTGACTTTTTAAATTATTCTAATGTAACAAAAAAACACTCATGTGGGGATAAAGCTGGAAACCATCATTCTCAACAGACTGACATAAGAACAGAAAACCAAATACCACAAGTTCACTCATACGTGGGTGTTGAACAATGACATGGACAGAGGGAGGGTAACAACAGACACCAGGGCCTGTAGTGGAGGAATCTAGGGGAGGGATAGCAGGAGGTGGGAGTATAGGGGAGGGATAACATTAGAAGAAATACCTAATATAGTTGATAAAGTGATGGATGCAGCAAACCACCATGGCACATGTATGTCCATGAAGCAAAACTGCACATTCTGCACATGTACCCCAGAACTTAAAGTATAATTTTTAAAAAATTCATGCTTAAAGGCATCTTTAGTGAATCTAATTACTTTATAGTAATCAAGGAATCTCTCTGATACTGTTCAGTTCCCATACTGTACCACATAACATAAAGAGTTTTTTGGCACTTATTATTTTGATATCATGTAATTTTTAGGAGAGGGCTTTTTCTGTTTCTCCTCTTGGTTCTCTGAATACACATAAATAATATTAGAAATCATGAAAATTTATCTGGGCATGGTGGTTGCATACCTGTAGTTCCAGCTACCAGGGAGGCTGAAGCAGGAAAATTGCTTGAGCCCAAGAGTTTGAGATCAGTTTGGGCGACATAAGGAGACCTAATCTCTAATTAGAAAAACAATATAGAAATTTAGAAATGTAAATTCTCTTTCTCACAATCTGTATTACTAAGGGATGCCAGTGTATTTTCTAAGTTATTTCATGAAAAGCTTACTTTAAACTCTTCATCTAAATGAAGAATGCTGGTTTTACCCTAAGTAAATAACCAGTTCTGTAAGCAGAGACCCTTAATAAGCATGTGGTAAGATTTTAATTTCAGAATTTTTAAATTGTAGTTTTTAGACATATAATTCAAAGATCTTTGATCACATTTGAAAATTTTAAATTTCAGAAGCTTTTGTATTATTGTTTAAATAATTGTTTTGAAGCTCTTGCATCACTATGAGATGCTGGAGGTTAGAAAACATACTTGTGTGCATCCTAGAATACCCAGAATACAGTTTTGCCTATAAAGAGCATTTAAAGAGGTTTTCAATGTAACTAAATACGCAGACAAAGGATTTTTTATATAATGGAATGTTACAAGTAAGATTATATGAATAATAGATCTAATAATTAAATTTAATGCATATCTAAAATAAGGTTTAAATTTATATTTTCTGTTAATGATTAGAATGCATAAGTTCAGGGAAGATATGTTGAGAAAACGTTTTTAAGTAAGTAGTCAGTAAATCAGAGATATGAAGTAAATAGGAAAGAAGTTTACACTATATTTTCTAGCATCCTCTAAGTAGAGTTTAGATTTTAAAAATTTAATATATTTTTATCACAACTCATGTTCTATTTAACATATCTTTTCAAGCAATACATTACCCTTTAGGATTTTGATTACAAATAGTTTCTTCAGGTGAAAAGTTTATGAATCATTCCTTTTTTTTCATTTTTTTTTCTCTCTGTAGTAATAATGTTCTATCTCGTAGGTAGTAGCTGAAGACCATGTTTAACCAATTTAATGCCTTATTATATAATAAGAAAATTAAAATACGTATTACACAGTCATTAACCAAATAACTAATTGTAGTGTAAATAGTAATCAGCATTATTGGAATATATTATGAACAAAGTTTCTATTGTATGTATTTCCACACCTATCTTATAGCAGTTGTTTTTTCTCTTGTTTCATGACTGGAGCTCATACTTGATTGACTGGTCATGTCTGTTGTTTGTTTCTTTCTCCTCTTCCATCTTTTTAAAAATGACTCCCCTGAGACTTTTTTTCACAGAATACATTTCTTCAGTGTCAGGTTTTTAGGGCATCTCTGTCTCTATTGTCAGCATATTTAGTTAGAGGTTTCTATTTCATTGCTATATATGGTTTTCAATTATCAATCATTGCCCTCCCCCACATGATTTATTCTTTTTTTCCTGTTTCATGGAGGAAGCTGATTTTATACAATTATTTGTATTTAGATTTTGGACACACAGAATTGAAACAACCTATACTATTTGAATGCAAACCCATTTAATTAAAATACTATAAAAACTAAACTCTGACATTTTTCAACACAAGAGGTAATTAATGCAACTTTGAATCACGAAGCTATATTTCAACATATAACATATTATTTAAATTTTTAAGTTAATTATTTCCACAATACTATAAACAATGTAAGCGTCAATTTTTGTCCCAGGTTATTTTGGTTAAAAAAATAATCTAATGAATACCACTAGTTTTGTATAATAATTAATTAGATGTATGGGATGAAAGGAAATAATTCAATGAAGAAGGGTAAGATAAACAGAGACTGCATTAGAAAGTCAGGGTGAGAAAGATTATTATAATACACAGCGAAAGGAATGGTTTAAATGAGTGCAGGAACTCTCCAGAATGAAAGATATGATAAAAATTAAGAAATGATAGCCAGGTAATAAAATACTGCTAAAATGTTTTTGAGTGACTTATAGCTGATTTTAATAAAGAGCTGAAAGAAAATATAAAGATGACTACAGGTAAAAGTAATTTGTTGTACTCTTTAAAATAGCTAGTAGAGAATAATTTGAATGTTTCTAGCATAAAGGACAAATTAATATTTAAGGTGATTAATATTCCGATTATTCTGGTTGATATGTAAATGTATTAAGTTATAATGTGTAACCCCAAACATGTACCTTTATATTGTGTCAACTAAAAAATTATAAAAAAGGAAAAAAAATTAATTCTCACTTCTATTAGTAAATTTGTTTTATATTTAATCTAGTCATAATTAATGGAGAATGCAAAGTGAGATCCTTTTTAGGCCTTGTCAGCTTTATTGTGAATTATTAATTTTTGACTCTTTGGTTTCTTAAGATTTCTAACTGTGTTTGACTTATTCTTAGGTTAATTACCTCATTAATCTTACTCTTAGGTATAACCCTGGTAGCTGTTTTGAGTATTTTTGTTAATAGACAGAGTATAAATAAAAAAGCAAGCAGTTTAATCAAATTACTAAAATTATATATTCTTTTCATATGAACAAGGTTTTTGTCTGGATCTCTTAAAAAAGAAAAATCATTGTTCAACACCCATCTATGAGTGAGAACATGCGGTGTTTGATTTTATTCTCTTGTGTCAGTTTGCTGAGAATGATGGTTAACAGATTCTTCCATGTCCCTACAAAGGACATGAACTCATGGACACTGGGAGGGGAACACTACACACTGGGGTCTGTTGGGGAGAAATGGGGGAGGGACTCGGGGGTAGGGAGGTGGGAAGAGATAGCATGGGGAGAAATGCCAGATATAGATGAAGGGGAGGAAGGCAGCACATCACACTGTCACTTGTGTACCTATGCAACAATCTTGCATGTTCATCACATGTACCCCAAAACCTAAAATGCAATAAAAAAAAAAGTATCACTTACAGTAAGCATATTGGGACTTGAAATTTTTTAGTTTCTTTCTTCACTTCTCCTTTGAATACTGGAGAATGCTTGACAACCAAAGATAATAGGTAAAAACTATTAAATCTTCAACTTGAATAATTATAACTTAATTTGATTTATATGAGATAGTTTTCCCCAATTTTAAACTATCCTTTATGGTGTAAATAAGCAATTTGAGCTAGTACTATATTGCTTACATGAACATAAGAAAAGCATGTGAATTTTATAACAGCATTTCACATTTCCATCTGACATTATAGTAGTACTTAAAAATGCCTCATAAGTCTATTATTAGGTAAGCATTTCTCTTGCACAATTAAAAGTTTCAAGGTTAAATTTTATTTATTTTTATTTTTAATTTTAATTATACTTTACATTCTGGGGTACATGTGCAGATCATGCAAGATTGTTGCATTGGTACGCACATGGCAATGTGGTTTGGTGCCTCCACCCCCCGTCACCTACATCTGGCATTTCTCCGCATGTTAACTCTCCCTGACCTCCCCACCCACCTGCTGTCCCTCTCTCGGCAGGCCCCAACAGACTGCAGTGTGTGCTGCTCCCCTCCCTGTATCCATGTGTTCTCATTGTTCAATACCCACCTAAGAGTGACAACGTGCAGTGTTTGATTTTCTGTTCTTGTGTAAGTTTGCTGAGAATGATGGTTTCCAGATTCATCCATGTCCCTACAAAGGACACAAAATCATTGTTTTTTATGGCTGCATAGTATTCCATGGTGTATATATGCCACATTTTCCTTGTCCAGTCTATCATCAATGAGCATTTGGGTTGAATCCAGGTCTTTGCTATTGTAAGCAGTGCCACTATGAGCATACGTGTGCATGTGTCTTTATAATAGAATGATTTATAATCCTTTGGGTATATACCCAGTAATGGGATTGCTGGGCCAAGTGGAATTTCTATTTCTAGGTCCTTGAGGAAGCATCATGCTGTCTTCCACAATGGTTGAACTAGTTTACACTCCCACCAACAGTGTAAAAGTGTTCCTATTTCTCCACATCCTCTCCAGCATCTGTCATCTCCAGATTTTTTAATGATCGCTGTTCTAACTGGCGTGATGTGGTATCTCAACATGGTTTTGATTTGCATTTCTCTTATGACCAGTGATGATGAGCACTTTTTCATATAAAAAGTGTTGGCCTTATTTATGTCTTCTTTTGAAAAGTGTCTGTTCATATCCTTTGTCCACTTTTGGATGGGTTTGTTTGTTTTTTTCTTGTAAGTCTGTTCTAGTTCTTTGTAAATTCTAGGTATCAGCCCTTTGTCAGATAGGTAGATTGCAAAATTTTTTTCCCATTCTGCTGGTTGCTGGTTCACTCTAATGACTCTTTCTTTTGATGTACAGAATCTCTGGAGTTTAATTAGGTCCCATTTTTCTATTTTGGCTGTTGTTGCCAATGCTTTTTGTGTTTTAGTCATGAAGTCCTTGCCTATGCCTATGTCCTGAATGGTTTTGCCTAGGTTTTCTTCTAGAGTTTTTATGGTGTAAGGTCTTATGTTTAAGTCTTTAATCCATCTGGAGTTAATTTTAGTGTAAGGTGTCAGACAGGGGTCCAGTTTCTGTTTTCTGCACACTGCTAGCCAGTTTTTCCAACACCATTTATTAAACAGGGAATCCTTTCCCCATTGCTTGTTTTTGTCAGGTTTGTCAAAGATCAGATGGTTGTAGATATGTGGCATTGCCCCCAAGGCCTCTGTTCTTTCCATTGGTCTACATCTCTGTTTTGGTACCAGTACCATGCTGTTTTGATTACTGTAGGCTTGTAGTATAGTTTGCAATCAGGTAGTGTGATGCCCCCAGCTTTGTTCTTTTTGCTTAGGATTATCTTGGCTATGCAGGCTGTCTTTTGGTTCTATATGAAGTTTAAGGTGGTTTTTTTCAGTCCTGTGAAGAAAGTCATTGGTAGCTTGATGGGGATAGCATGGAATCTATAAATTACTTTGGGCAGTATGGCCATTTTCACAATGTTGGTTCTTTCTAACCATAATCATGGAATGTTTCTCCATCTGTTTGTGTCCTCTCTTATTTCCTTGAGCAGTGATTTGTAGTTCCTCTTGAAGAGGTCCTTTATATCCTTTGTTAGTTGTATTCCTAGGTATTTTATTCTCTTTGTAGCAATTGTGAATTGGATTTTGCTCATGATTTGGCTCTCTGTTAGTCTGTTATTAGTGTATAGATATGCTTGTGATTTTTTGCACATTGATTTTGTATCTTGAGACTTTGCTGAAGTTGCTTATCTGTTTAAGGAGATTTGGGGTTGAGATGATAGGGTCTTCTAAATCTACAATCATGTCATCTGCAAGTAGAGACAATTTGACTTCCTCTTTTCCTAATTGAATACTCTTTTTTTTTTTCTTCTTGCCTAATTGCTCCAGCTAGAACTTCCAATACTATATTGAATAGGAGTGGTGAGAGAGGGCATCCTTGTCTAGTGCCAGATTTCAAAGGGAATGCTTCCAGTTTTTGCCCATTCAGTATGATATTGGCTGTAGGTTTGTCATAAATAGCTTTTATTGTTTTGAGATATGTTCCTTTGATGCCTAGTTTATTGAGAGCTTTTAGCATAAAGGGCTGCTGAATTTTGTGGAAGGCCTTCTCTGCATCTGTTGAGAAAATTATGTGGTTTTTGTCTTCGGTTCTGTTAATGTGGTAGATTACCTTTATAGACTTGTATATGTTGAACCAGCCTTGCATCCCTGGAAAGAAGCCTACTCAATCGTGATGGGTAAGCCTCTTGATGTGTTGTTGCAATTGGTTTGCCATTATTTTATTGAAGATATTTGCATCTATGTTCATCATGTATATTGGCCTAAAGTTTTCTTTTATTGTGGAGTCTCTGCCAGATTTTGGTATCAGGATGATGTTGGTTCATAAAATGATTTGGGAAGGATTCCCTTTTTTTGTATTGTTTGCAATAGTTTCAGAAGGAATGGTAACAGCTCCTCTTTGTATGTCTGGTGGAATTCAGCTGTGAACCAATCCAGATGGGTTCAAGGTTAAATTTTGTAAAGGTCCTTTTCAGAATCTTCAACTGGTGTTTTAGAATTAAATGTTACATTCAATTCAACTATGCATATTGCAATAATATTTCAGTAATATTTACCAATATAAATACAATTATATTCTCAAAACAAATTTGGACATATATAATGGAGAAACTTAGTCACATGTTTTTCTCCTCCTTTGATTTCATTTTCAAAGCTTCCTCATTCTGCATAGGTTTGCATTATTTAATTTTTCCCATTTAGTCTATCTTATAAATATTTATCTTCTTAACACTATGCAATTTTTCTGATGTAGGTCATCAACTCATACTCCAAATGTATTTATCCAGATCTTTCTTCCAAGCCCCTTGGATGCCTCAAATGTTATGGGTCTCAAACTGAAAACATCATTTTTATTATTTTCCTGACTCATCTCTGACCCTTTGTAATCTACCCTGTCATCTGGTTTTCCCATCCTAGTAAATAACACCTAAGAAGTAGCAGAGAAAGGCTCAAGCACTTGAACCTGCACTTCAAGTCTCCTCCACATCCTACACTTCAGTCCTCCTCCCATCACCAATCCAGTCACACACCAAATTGTGTAGTTTCTACCTTCTTATATTTTTCCATCTTTTATTACCATAATTAACTCTCTACCAATAATTTTGAAGTACTCCTTTCTCATTTTGCCCCATCTGCCCATGTTCATCTATCTTTACATTGCTGAAAGGGTCCTCCTTCTAAAATACATTTGTAATGATGTAACTCATCTGCACATTGAATGGATACCCACAACACAAAGGGATAAGTTCACATTCTAGCATGACAAGTGTCTTACATGGTCTGGGCCCATTTTACCTCTTCATCTCATTTCCTCTGATTGTTTTCCAGTTTTACCACGTAACTTTGGCACCCTTAATTTGCCATGTTATTTCATGCCTTACTGTTTTGCACATGTTATTGCACCTAGAGTTCTAGAGTCTTTGTATCTTGACTCTGCATTTTGCCTGTCCTTCCAAATATGTCTAAATTATGGCAGCATCTTCTATGCTTTTCAGGTAAAACTGATTTTCTCCTTTGTGCCCACATATATTTTATTAACTAAAATTGTAGAACTGCTGACTTATACTTATCTGTTCTTATATGTTTTCATAAGTCTCTACCATTTCTTAAATACAGGCTAGAATCTACCTTACGTGTATATCTTCTGCTTCTCCCAAGATAATGCCTGTGATTGATAGATACAATGCACTTTTTTTTTGTCTTACTGACAAATAGAGTGAGTGAATGAATAAATACATTTTTTTCTAAAGTTGTTTATAATTTTGGTTTTTTTGTTTTTTGTTTGTAATAGAGGAGAGCATTGAAGACAGTAATTGGACAAGAAGAAAATGATATTTGCATTATTGAACAAACTCCTCAAGATCAAACAAGTAATGATGCTTTCACTTTTAGACCAAAATAATGAAGCACTGTTAGTAAATACCTCTGAATATTTCTATACTTTAATGCTAGTACTTAGAAAACAATTTTATAGATGGAACTATAATGTCTACTTAAAAAATACTTTTTGCTATCTGTCTTTATACTATCAATTCTTTTTTCTGAACCTGCTTCAATCCTGAAATTCTATTTCTGCTATTATGTTTATTTCATTGAAATATTCATAAATAGAAATAGATTTGTATATGTTTTCACAACTTACAGTAATAAATGTTCTCATATATTTGTCTGTGAACAACAATTTGTAGATAAGATGCCCACATCAGAATCAGGACAAAAAGAAGATAAGAAATCACCTTCAGATCCTGAGGTACTGTGTATTGGTGATGTTGTTTTTATTATTTTAAAATGTAGTATTGAGTAATGTTAGGATATAAAAAGATGATTTGACATTATTTTCTTACGTCTCCATGTGTCCGTAGAAATAATTTTCTGACATTTATCAGAACATACTTTACAATCATGTGTGAAGTAGATAACTGCTGTATAGTGCAATTCTGCTACTTTTCAGGATTAATACAGGAAGCCAGTGTAGAATAATGCAAAAGAAAATATGGCTAAGATGTCACTAGGAACCTATTTGAGTTCTGAAGTTGTTTGTCTAAAATGTAATTTATGTATGTTCACCTATGGGCAGATAAATGATTCTGTGTACATCTGGATGTAAGAAAGCTCTAAATGGATTCAGAGAGAAATAGTTAAACTGTAGTCTTAGTCTTGTACAACTTGGAACTTGGAAAGATCATGCCTGGGACTTAAATGTATTGGTATATTTTCATTTTCTAGTATAGATCTGAAGGAGCATTTCAGGAGTTGGATAAACATGAGAAATAGAGCATCTGTAAAACTATATACAACACCAATTTGGTTGAGTAGTATTTTAATAAGTAGACATTCTTTTCACAAATAGAACTCTTTTTAGTTCCTCTTTGACAGCCACGTTTGCAGCACCATATGTGTCAAATAATTATGATGCATTCCAAGGTCACAACTGTGGAGGTAGAAGAGATAGGAAAGACCTCACCACTTAGATATAAGCATCAGCAGGGTAGTGGTAACAGCAATGAGTGGATGTCAAAGATAAGTCTGTATTTTGGTTCTGTCACTTACTAGCTATGGGAACTGGGAAAAAAATTATTTAACCTGATCAAATACCAGTAACCTTGTTTATAAAAATAGTGCTCATATCTACCTCTTCAGTATGTGCAATGGAATAATGTAGTAACAAATGTGAAAACATCTTGTAAACTGGAAAGTCTGTATACAAATATAAGACAAAATGATCAAAGTGGCATTTAAATGAAAGCAGTACTGTTAGGACAAAAATGTGGAGTAAGAACAGGCATGCGGATTTCTAATTTGTGGTAAAGGGATGGTAACTTGCAGCAGGCTACTACTGCGGATTTTCCAGAGAAATACAGCAGTTTCAAAAGTTAGACTTTTCTGAGGTGATTTTGTTTTGGCCTGGAGTAATTTCTTTCTAAGTACCAACTGTGTACTAGGCAGTGTCTCTCTGAATATCCAAGATGAGGGATTCTGCTATGGTAGTAGGAAGAGAATAACAAATACAAAACACTTATATGTCACTGTAACTTTTTCTTAAAATCAAAACAGAGAATGTTAGGATAGAAAAAATTGAAGAACTTTCTATTTAGCATGGATATGGGAGTGGCAGGGGAATTCTATGATCAGAGCAGATCTTTCTGAGCCTGCCATTTAATCTCCCATCTCAAAGATGTGGAGTCTGCCATGTGAAAGTCTAGGAGAAAGACATTCTATATTTGTTCATTATTTTGTTCTTAACAACCTAGAATGACTAGGAAGCAGAGAATGGGGTAACCATCAAAGCCATCATCATCCTCATTATTCTAAGGTGAAGAAAAGTCTACAAATATGTGTCTGGAACACATTAGATGTTTCATGAATAATAGCGGGTTTTTTGTTTGTTTGTTTGTTTGTTTGTTTGTTTGAGACAGGGTATCTCTCTCTCACCAGGCTGAAGGGCAGTGGCGCGATCTCTGCTCACTACAGCCTCTGCCTCCTGGCTTCAAGCCATTCTCCTGCCTCAGTCTCCCGAGTAGCTGGGACAACAGGCATGTGGCACCATGCCCAGCTAATTTTGTTTGTTTAGTAGAGACAGGGTTTCACCATGCTGGCCAGGATGGTGTTGATCTCTTTACCTTGTGATCTGCCCACCTCTGCCTCCCAAAGTCCTGTGATTACAGGTGTGAGCCACTTCACCCAACTGAATACATGTTTTTATTTTCTCTTTTTGGGAAGGCTTGCTCTACTTTTCTGAAGTTATATCTTAAGAATTAATTGCGTAGTTTATCTAATAATTGTTTGTCTTCATTTAAAAATAGCTTCTGTTTATTTCCTTTAAACAGCTTCTACAGAGTTCTATTTTTACTCTGCATGACATCCGAGAATTCTCCATGCCATGCATAGTTTTTAACAAAAATTCTGTAATTATGCATATATCAAATGTTTAATCATATTATATTTTGTTCAAAATGCCTCATTATATTTAGTGATAACAAGAGTAAGGGAGATGCTTTGAAGTTAATTTCTTTTTTAAATATGCCCACAAGTTAATTTTCTGTAAATATGACCTTTTTTAATGCTCAGTAGCCTAGTCAATAGCCACATGAAGATAAAAGATAAGCATTATCTGCAGAGCATATGTGAGGTTTTCTCTTGAAATATTTTGGTTTTCAATATGTGAACAGCCTTAAATCTAATTGCCTTTGAAGTAAAAAATAAAAGTATTGTTTTAAAAAAGATTTTAAATAAAAAAATATATCATTGTCATTATTATTATTTTGAAGTTGAAATTATTTATTGAGGCAGGCCATAGTGGGTCACATCTGTAATCCCAGTGCTTTGGGAGGCCAAGGCAGGTGGATTACTTGAGGTCAGGAGTTTAAGACCAGCCTGGCTTGTCTCTACACAAAATACAAAAGTTAGCCCAGCATGGTGGCTCTTGCCTGTAGTCCCAGCTACTCAGAAGGCTGAGGCAGGAGAATCTCTGGAACCTAGGGGAGGGAGGTTGCAGTAGGCCAAGATCATGCTACTGGTTGACCTTGGGAAACTTTGTTATAGAAAAAGAAGTTTTTAAATAGATTATTATTGATATTGCATTTAATAGGTTAACTCTGAGCATGCTGCACAGAATTATATGTGTTTACCTCAGACTACATATCAAAAAGTGATCAAGACAATAAATGGGAAAATAGAAGGTAAGAACCATTTTTTAAATTATACTTTAAGTTCTGGGGTACATGTGCAGAACATGCAGGGTTGTTACATATGTATACACATGCCATGGTGGTTGGCTGCATCCATCCCCCTGTCATCTACATTAAGTATTTCTCCTAATGTTAGCCCTCCGCAATCCCTCCCACTATCCCTCCCTTAACCCCCTGAATCCCTGACAGGCCCCAGTGTGTGATGTTCCCCTCCCTGTGTCCATGTGTTCTCACTGTTCAACACCCACTTATGAGTTAGAACATGTGGTGTTTGGTTTTCTGTTCTTGTGTCACTTTGCTGAGAATGATGGTTTCTAGCTTCATCCGTATCCCTGCAAAGGACATGAACTCATCCTTTTTCTTATGACTGCATGGTATTCCATGGTGTCTATGTGCCACATTTTCCTTGTCCGGTCTATCTTTGATGAGCATTTGGGTTGGTTCCAAGTCTTTTTTATTGTGAACAGTGCTGCAATAAACATACATGTCCATATGTCTTTATAGTTGACTGTTTTATAATCCTTTGGGTATATACCCAGTAATGGGATTTCTGGGTCCAATGGTATTTCTAGTTCCAGATCCTTGAGAAATTGCCATATTGTCTTCCACAATGGTTGAACTAATTTACACTCCCACCAACAATGTAAGTGTCCCTATTTCTCCACATCCCCTCTGCATCTGTTGTCTCCTGATTTTTTAATGATCACCATTCTAACTGGCATGAGATAGTATCTCAATAGTTTTGATTTGAATTTCTCTAATGACCCTGATGATGTGCTTTTTTCTTATGTTTGTTGGCTGCGTAAATGTCTTCTTTTGAAAGGTGTCTGTTCATCTCCTCCGTCCACTATTTGATGGGGTTGTTTTCTCTTATAAATTTGTTTAAATTCTTTGTAGATTTTTGTTATTAGCCCTTTGCCAGATGAGTAGCTTGCAAAGATTTTTTCCTATTCTGTTGGTTGCCAGTTCACTGTAATGATGATAGCTTCTTTTGCTGTGCATAAGCTCTTAAGTTTATTTAGATCCCATTGGTCTATTTTGGCTTTTGTTGCCATTGCTTTTGGTGTTTTAGTTATAAAGTTCTTGCCTATGCCTATATCCTAAATGGTATTGCCTAGATTTTCTTCTAGGGTTTTTACAGTGTTAGGTCTTCTGTTTAAGTTTTTAATCCATCTGGAGTTAATTTTTGCATAAGATGTAAGGAAAGGATCCAGTTTCACCTTTCTGCATATGTCAAGCCAGTTTTCCCAAAACCATTTATTAAATAGGAAATTCTTTTCCCATTGCTTGTTTTGGTCAGATTTGTCAAAGATCAGATGGTTGTAGATGTGTCATGTTACTTCTGAGGCCTCTGCTCTGTTCCATTGGTCTATATCTCTGTTTTGGTACCAGTACTGTGCTGTTTTGGTTACTGCAGTTTGTAGTATAGCTTCAAGTCAGGTAGCATGATGTCTCTAGCTTATAGTCAGGAAGAGTGATGCCTCCAGCTTTGTTTTTTGTTTTTACTTTTGTCTTTTTTGCTGAGGATTGGCTTCGCTATGTGGGCTCCCTTTTGGTTCCATATGAAGTTTATGGTGGCTTTTTTCAATTCTGTGAAGAAAGGGAGCTTGATGGGGATAGCATTGAATCTATAGATTACTTTGGGACGTATGGTCATTTTCATGATATTGATTCTTCTTAACCATGAGCATGGAATATTTTTTCATCTGTTTGTGTCCTCTCTTATTTTCTTGAGTACTGTTTTGTAGTTCTCCTTGAAGAGGTCCTCCTTATCCCTTGTTAGATATATTCCTAGGTATTTTATTGTTTTTGTAGCAATTGTGAATGCAAATTCACTTATGATTTGGCTCTCTGTCTGTTTTGGTGTATAGGAATACTTCTGATTTCTACATGTTGATTTTGTGTCTTGAGACTTTGCTGAATTTGCTTATCAGCTTAAGGAGATTTTGGGCTGAGACGATGGGGTCTTCTTTTTTTTTTTTTTACTTTTTTTTTTCCATTTTTTCTTTTAATTGCATTTTAGGTTTTGGGGTACATGTGATGAACATGCAAGATTGTTGCATAGGTACACACATGGCAGTGTGCTTTGCTGCCTTCCGTCCCCTCACCTGTATCTGTCATTTCTCCCCATGCTATCTCTTCCCACCTCCCCACCACCCCGCCCCTCCCCCATTTCCCCCCAACGGACCCCAGTGTGTAGTGCTCCCCTCCCTGTGTCCATGTGTTCTCATTGTTCAACACCCGCCTATGAGCGAGAATATACGGTGTTTGATTTTCTGCTCTTGTGTCAGTTTGCTGAGAATGATGGTTTCCAGGTTCATCCATGTCCCTACAAAGGACGTGAACTCATCGTTTTTGATGGCTGCATAATATTCCATGGTGTATATGTGCCACATTTTCCCTATCCAGTCTATCATCGTTGGGCATTTGGGTTGGTTCCAGGTCTTTGCTATTGTAAACAGTGCTGCAATGAACATTCGTGTGCACGTGTCCTTGTAGTAGAATGATTTATAATCCTTTGGATATATACAATCATGTCATCTGCAAATAGACATTTTACTTCCTCTTTTCCTAATTGAATATCCTTTATTTCTTTTTCCTGCCTGATTCTCCTGACCAGAACTTCCGTTACTATGTTGAATGGGAGTGGTGAGAGAGGACATCCTTGTCTTGTACCAGTTTTCAAAGGGAAAGCTTCCAGTTTTTGCCCATTCAGCATGATATTGGCTGTGGGTTTGTTGTAAATAGCTTATTATCTTGAGATGTTTCATCGATACCTAGTTTGTTAAGAGTTTTTAGCATAAAGGGCTGTTGAATTTTGTTGAAGTCCTTTTCTACATCTATTGAGATTATTATATGGTTTTTGTCTTTGGTTCTGTTTATGTGTAGATTTCATTTATAGATTTGCATATGTTGAAACCAGGCTTGCATCCCAGGGATGAAGCAGACTTGATTGTGTTGGATAAGCTTTTTGATGTGCTGTCCAGATTTGGTTTGCCAGTATTTCATTGATGATTTTTGCATCAATGTTCATCATGGATATTGGCCTGAGATTTCCTTTTATAGTTGTGTCTCTGCCAAGTTTTGGAATCAGGATGATGTTGGTCTCATAAAATGAGTTAGGGAGGATTCCCTCTTTTTGTATTGTTTGGAATAGTTTCAGGAGGAATGGCACCAGTTCCTCTTTGTACATCTGGTAGAATTCAGCTGTGAACCCATCTGGTCCTGTACTTTTTTTAGTTGTTAATCTATTAATTGCTTCCTCAATTTCACACCTTGTTATTGGTCTATTCAAGGATTCAACTTCTTCCTGGTTTAACCTTGAGAGGGTGTCCAGGAATTTATCCATTTCTTCTTGATTTACTGCTTTATGTGCATAGAGCTTGTCTGTAATAACTTCTGGTGGTAGTTTATATTTCTGTGGGATTGGTGGTGATATCCCCTTTATCATTTTTTGTTGCATCTATTTGATTCTTCTCTCTCTTCTTTTTTATTAGTCTGGCTAGCTGGTCTATATATTTTGTTGATCTTTTCATAAATCCAACTCCTGGATTTATTGATTTTTTGAAGTGCTTTTGTGTCTCTGTCTCCTTCAGTTCTGCTCTGATCTTAGTTATTTCCTGTCGTCTGCTAACTTTTGAGTTTGTTTGATCTTGCTCCTCTAGTTCATTTAATTACGATGTTATGATGTTGATTTTAGATCTTTCCTTGCTTCTCATGTGGGCATTTAGTGCTGTAAATCTCCCTCTACACCTGCTTTAAATCTGTCCCAGAGATTCTGTTATGTTGTGTCTTTGTTCTCATTGGTTTCGAAGAACATCTTTATTTCTGCCTTCATTTCATTATTTATCCAGTAGTCATTCAGGATCAGCTTGTACAGTTTCCATGTAGTTAATGTGGTTTTGAGTAATTTTTTTAAATCCTGAGTTCTGATTTGATTGCACTATGGTCTGAGAGACTGTTTGTTATGATTTCCATTCTTTTGCATTTCCTAAAGAGTGATTTACATCCAATTATGTGGTCAACTTTAGAGTAAGTGTGATGTGGTGCTGAGAAGAATGTATATTCTGTAGATTTGGAGTGGAGAGGTCTGTGGATGTTCATTAGGTCTGCTTCGTACAGATCTGAGATCAAGCAGAAGAAAGGATAACAGATTGAAGATCAACTCAATGAAATAGAGTGAGAAGGCAAGATTGGAGAAATAAGAGTGAAAAGAAATGAACAAATCCTCCAAGAAATATGGGGTTATGGCTGGGTGCAGTGGCTCACACCTATAATCTTAGCACTTTGGGAGGCCGAGGAGGGTGGACCACAAGGTCAAGAGATTGAGACTACCGTGGTCAATATGGTGAAACCCCGTCTCTATTAAAAATACAAAAATTAGGCCGGGCACGGTGGCTCAAGCTTGTAATCCCAGCACTTTGGGAGGCCGAGGCGGGTAGATCACGAGGTCGAGAGATCAAGACCTTCCTGGTCAACATGGTGAAACCCCGTCTCTACTAAAAATACAAAAAATTAGCTGGGCATGGTGGCGCGTGCCTGTAATCCCAGCTACTCAGGAGGCTGAGGCAGGAGAATTGCCTGAACCCGGGAGGCGGAGGTTGCGGTGAGCCGAGATCGCACCATTGCACTCCAGCCTGGGTAACAAGAGCGAAAACTCCGTCTCAAAAAAAAAAAAAAAAAAAATACAAAAATTGCTGGGTACAGTGGCGTGTGCCTGTAGTCCCAGCTGTTTGGGAGGCTGTGGCAGGAGAATTGCTTGAACCCAAGAGGCGGAGGTTGTGGTGAGTCAAGATCATGCCATTGCACTCCAGCCTGGGTAACAAGAGTGAAAAAAAAAAAAAACCTCAAAAAAAAAAAAAAGAAAAGAAGAAGAAGAGGAAGAAGAAGAAGAAGAGGAAGAAGAAGAAGAGAGAAGAAGAAGAAGAAGAAAAAGAAGAAGAAGAAGAAGAAAGAACAGGAAGAAGGAGGAGGAGAAGGAGGAGGAGAAGGAGGAGGAGGGGGAAGGGGGAGGGGGAGGGGGAGCAGTGGAGGAGGAGGAGGAGAAGGGGGAGGAGGAGGATGAGGAGGAAAAAAGGAAAGGAAAGGAAAGGAAGAAATATGGGGTAATGTGAAAAGACCAAATCTACCTTATTTTGGTGTACCTGAATGTGATGAGGAGAGTGAAACTAAGTTGGAAAACTCTCTAGGATAGTATCCAGGAGAACATCCCTAACCTAGCAAGGCAGGCTAACATTCAAATTCAGGAAATATAGAGAACACCACAAACATATTCCTCAAGAAGAGCAGCCGCAAGGAGCATAATTGTCAGACTCACCAGGGTTGAAATGAAGGAAAAAATACTAAAGGCAGCCAGAGAGAAAGGTCGGGTTACTCACAAATACAAGCCCATCAGACTCACAGCAGATCTCTTGGTAGAAACCCTACAAATCAGAACAGAGTGGAGGCCAATATTCATCATCCTTTAAGAAAATAATTTTCAACCCAGAATTTCATATGCAGCCAAACTAAGCTTCATAATTGAAGGAGAAATAAAATCCTTTACACACAAGCAACTGTTAAGAGATTTAGTCACCACCAGGCCAACCTTAAAACAGCTCCTGTAGGAATCACTAAACTTGGAAAGGAACAACCAGTACCAGCCACTCTGAAAGCATACCAAATTATACAAACCATTAACACTATGAAGAATCCGCATGGACTAATGGGCAAAACAACTAGCTAGCATCAAAATGGCAGGATCAAATTCACACATAACAATGTTAACCTTAAATGTAAGTGGGTTAAATGCCCCAATTAAAAGACACAGACTGGCAAATTGGATAGAGTCAAGAAACCATTGGTGTGCTGTATTTAGGAGACCCCTCTCGTGTAAAGACACACATACGCTCAAAATAAAGAGAAGGAGGAAGATTTACCAAGCAAATGGAAAGCAAAGGAAAATAGGGGTTGTAATTATAGTCTCTGATAAAACAGACTCTAAACCGACAAAATCAAAAGAGACAAAGAAGAACATTACATAATGGTAAAGGAATCATGCAACAAAAGAGCTAACTATTCTAAATATATATTCATCCAATACAGGAGCACGAAGATATATAAAGCAAGTCCTTCATGACCTACAAAGAGACTTAGACTCTCACACAATAATAGTGGGATACTTTAATACTTCACTGTCAATATTTAACAGATCTATGAGACAGAAAATTAACAAGGAAATCCAGGACATTTTTTATTTAAAATATCATTTGACCAAATGTTTTTCTAAATGCATGAGGAATCATAAACTCTGATAGCCAAAGAAAATTATTTTCTGTTGCATAGTGTGGAAGAACAAAAGGAGTGAAAGTTATATGTCTTATCAGGTGTTGGCAACAGATTATATTCAGAGTGCCAAAAAAACAGGGCCAAATTATTAGTTTAAATTCAAGATACTCAGAAACCTGAGGAAAGAAGTAAAAGAGGAAATGAAGACTGAGGAAGACAGAGAGTACAGGGAGTACATGAGGGAAAAAGAAGCAGGTTTATATAATGGAAGATGATAAAATAAAATAATTCTTTAGAAAAAGATGGAGCATGGTTAGAAAGTTGGGGAGAATATGGCAACCTTCCATACTAAAATTTCTCAGAGAACTACAGCAAACATGTTTTCACTCTTGTTTTTCTCAATGGTGGGAAGGCATTAGAGATGGAAGCACCTGACCATGGAGAGTTGTGATTCATCTGCCATAGGATATTTGCACAGCCATATATGTGTATAATTTGTCATGTGTGTGTATAATTTGCAAATATGCTTATTTGCACAGCCATGTGTGTGTATAATTTATCATGCACACTCAGTATAGACAATAAGAGTTCAAACTTTAGAAAATCAGCTGAAGACCTTGTTAACAATGCGTGCTGTGATTTAACAGACTTGGGATTCTGGCATTTTTAATAAGTTCTCAAGTGATAGTGAAGCTGGTGGTCCTTGGACCTCACTCTTAAGTAACAAGGAAATAGCCTTTCCTTTGGAAAAAATCTTGAAGAAGGGAAGTTGGATAGAAGGTCAACACATAACAGGGTAAAGGGAAAGCACTATATTACTTTTATTTCTGAGTTATGTTTCTGTCCAGAGGGGTTTTTAAAAAAAAAAGAGGTAAAGAAATAGTAATTAAAGATGTCAGATACAACCCCTAATCAAAGAGAAAGAAAGTGGTAGGAAAATTGATTTTATAAGATGTTGAAAGGGAAGAATCAAAACCACAGATTTAGACATTATTTTGGCTAAAGAAGAGAGATTGTGAGGCAGGAAATGGGACAAGAAAGAAGATACTAGGCAACTTTGGGGTTTCTGAAAAGAAAACTTGAGTGAACTCACCTCAGATCATTTAGAATATTTGTACTCCAGAAGCTTACACTGTGCGTATTCCAGGATTACCAGAAGCGGGAGCATTACTGGAATTGGAGTAAACAACCATGACTCATTATTTTCCTCTGTTACTATGAGGCATAAAAGATATGTATTTTGTTGATATTAGCTATTCAAATGAGAGGTATTTGAAAGTAAGAGCATTGGCTTTATTTTTAATGAAGTAAAGTATTTTGGTAAAATTTTTGTTCTATAAAAATCCATTAGACACTTAACATGACAAATAAACCAGACTAGCTTTTAGAAACTAAAATATTACTGAATTTATTACTTAAATTCTAAAATTGCTTTTAAAAATGAATATTGTCCTGATTTTGAAATATAAAATGTTATTTATATGCAATAATCCTGTTGCCATACATTTTCAAATAAACATCTCAATATTGAAAGCTCATTATACATTATTTTTTGTGAGTTTTGTATGTATTTTTGCATGAGCTAATCAAGAAAATTTCTGAGAAATACACTAGAAGTTTCAGAAATGTAGCATATGATTATGCCACATGGATATGGAAAACAATAAATACTTATATTTAGTATTATTTCCTAAGTATATATTCAAGTTGATCAATTTATAAAACTTTCAGTGATGAGATGTCAGTTCTGCATTCAGCTAAACTCTCATGATACCATTATACAGTCTCAATTGTAGAACAAATTAAAGAGCATGATGAATGTAATGATATAAATTACTCTAATGTATTTCCTTAAATATATGATGTAGGATTCTATATTCAGCTTTGACATATTTTTTTTCAGATCGTGATTTGCTCCCTTGATCAAAGATCATTTCTGCTTTCAACACCCAGCTTATACATATTAAAATCAACACATTTTGCATGCACAACACATTATCCCTTTTGAAATCTTAAGTGCATGTCTTATGAAGCCTAGATTCTTAGCTTCTTCAGTGTATTTCTGTCATGGGAGTGCCCTAAAGAAACAAACCAAAAGAAACCCCCCAACTCTCAAAGTTAGCAAAAAGACTCAAGTTACTAGCACTGCGTTCATTTGTGGTTGGTTTTGTCATATTTACCTATGATTGATGATAAATCTCTTTTGCTTTATAGAGCCTTCTAAGAAGCCTTCTGATTTTGAGGTATTGAGTTTTATAATTAATATATATATAATTGAATATATATTATTTTAACGATGTATTTTGTGAAGTATGCATTCATTATTAATCATTTTTCTTCCAAACCCATTTAGCCTGCCATTGAAATGCAAAACTTTGTTTCAAATAAAGCCTTAGAATGGAAGAATGAACAAACATTGGGAGCAGGTAAATGAATATTTCAATATTTGATCTGTTAATAGTCTCATCTCCCAGTGTTTATTTTTCAAATTTGATGAAAATACTTGAGCTAAATAATGTCAATGGTGGTATCTACATTGGAAAAACTGGTATTTATAGGAACGTGAATTTTCTTTAAAAACATACCTTTAATTTCAAGTGTTTCTACTTTTATGTTTTGATACTATAGTGGTTTGTATTGAGAATTTCTTTATGTCTTAAAAATTCAAGCATGCACAATCATACATTCTGAGGGCAATTAGAATTATGACTTACAAATTATTAGAGCTGTGGTGGTGGTACAACACATTTTGTCAGAGACAAAATGCACTTCTAAATAAATGTAAGTGAACATGGTCAACAACAAAAGTATGATTTGACTTCTTGGATTTCTCTTGATTTTTGAAACTAATGTTTCTTCAGTTCTTCAAAAATTGATTGGAATTCTACCTTTTACTTCATGGAAAGCTTCACTTGTTGACATGCCAATTTTGTTTTAACATTGATTACCTCATGTAAGTGTAGTCATTTAAAGTATCCTAAGGAAAACAGTTATTCTGATTAGCTTACTCTCTCTCTCTCTCTGTCTCTGTCTCTCTCTCTCTCTCTCTGTGTGTGTGTGTGTGTGTATGGTGTACGTTCATGCCTGTTTGCATGTGTATGTGTTTGCATGTGATACACTTATTTTTAAAAAATGGGAAAAGCAATCATTTCTTTATTATTATTTTTGTAAAACTGTGATTCTGAAGTATTTGACCTTACTGTCTTTTCATTGCCTGGAGGTAAACAGTTGCCTAAACTAGATTTTTAAAAATTATTATTCCTATGCATGTTTCAACATTTTACAATATATGGGCATGGTCATAAATAATATGTGGAATTTGTTTTCAACTTCTATTATGTGAGTAATTGCACATTGTGTGTAATTTTCTGTAACAGTCTTTGTTTGATCAGCATTATATTGTTAGATCCATCCATAATGGGCACATTTAGCTCTGGTTTTGTTTCTATTAGGTTCTTTATAGAATTATGTTGTATGACTGCACCAAAACTCATTAAATTTTGTCCATGCAAAAAGTAAATGTATGAAAATAAAAACAAGTACAGATTTCATTCTTCATTTCAGTTGGTTTTATCTATTGCTTTTTGATGTATTAGAAATTAAAACTAAAATATTTCAAGTATCACTGTGCTCAATCATCTACTTTAATAACAATAAAAACTGCGATATGTGGACCATTAAAGCTATGGTGTTATAACACATTATTTCCCTGAAACAGCGCAGTATACACTTGTAAAATTGAGAGGGAAAATGGTCAATAACAAATGGATCATTTGAGTTTTTTGGATTCTCTACATGAAACTTAAACTTTTAGCATATTTGAAAATCAGATATATAGTTCATGGATGTCAACTTATAAATGTACCCTTAATATTAAAGTGGTATTTAAAGTTACTGTTGTGTATGTTTGCTTTTCCCTTTAAACTGTGCTAAAAGTTAATATTCGAAAATTTTGTTTACAAAGAAAACTGGACATTATTTCTGTTATGTTTGTTTTCTGTTTCATGCCTCCTAAATTTTCACATTCTATTGTATGACTACCACAATTTATTAAACTGTTTTATTCTGATAAAATAAATAAAAATTAAAACAAGTGCAGATTTTGATAAGCCTTTTGAGTTGGCTTTGTATTTTGTTTTTAACATGTTAGAAATTACCACTGTAGTATTTAAGATATATGAATGTACAGTCATACATTCTGATGTCAGTTAGTCATATATTCTGATGTCAGTTAGAACTATGACTTACAAATCATTAGAGCTATGGTGGTGTTAACAATACGTTTGTCTCTTAAACATTTTAGTATGCACTTCTAAATAAATGTAAGTGAATATGGTCAACAACAAAAGTATGAGTTGACTTCTTGGATTCCATGCATGAAACGAACTGCAAGGATTCCGATCAGAATTTAAGACCAGTTTTAAAAGTTCATAAATGTCAAATTATAAATTGACCCTTAATAATGAAATCATCCTTAAAGCTTTTGTTATGCATGTTTAATTTTTTCTTCAACCTATTTTAAATAGTTGAAATTTGAAAATTTTGTTTATAAAGAAAATGCAGATTTTTAAAAAATTTATTTGTTGTCTCATGACTCTCAGTATTCCTTGGATCTTGTGTGGATTTTGATTTAATCCTATTAAATGTGGAAACATTAGTTTACTATTGGGTAGGCATTGATTTAATTCTTTTTTTTATCGAAACATTAGGTTACTTAAGACAATTATATAGATTTCTAATGTTTCTCTAAGGCATCACAAGTTGATTCTGAAAATATTGCACTAAGGAAAGACTATCTCAAAATAATTAAAGCAGTATTTAAATTTAAAGTATATGCAATAAAAGTTTTTAAAGCTTATTTCTCTATTACACATACACACAGTATACTGTCATGCATGTTGAAATTTAAAACTGTTAGATGTAAAGTTTGTTAATGTAAAAAAAGTTTTATATCTCAAAAGTTTTATTTATTGATATTCTTAATTGAATAATTCTGTTTAATAGACATGGCTGAGTCAATAATGCTGAGTAATGCAAAATAAATAGAAAAAAATGAAAGATGGCATATAATTAAATTATCTCATTTAATATCCAGCATAGGACATACTGTGTTTCTGGGAAGAAGAAAACATGGTTGGTTGCTTTTTTGAAGAAATAGTTTATATGAGTTAGGCAAATTTCTATTTGTTTCTATTCTAATGAATAAAAAGTTTACTTTCAGATATTTTAGTTTGCAGCACTACTAGATTGACCATAAAAGTGGTGGGAATAGTCTGCAAAAAGGATTTACAAGCTGAATAAGAAAAACCACAGATTCATGAAAAAAAAATAGATTTGTATATACTTTTTAAATATATGGTAATAAATGTTCTCATGAATATATCTGTGATTAATATTTTATAGATAAACTGTTTACATTAAAATCAGGACAAGAAACATACATAGAATCACATTGGAGTTCTGAGGTATTGTGCAATTTTGTTTTCATTATTCTTTAAAATATAAATACTGAGAGATGTTGAAACATGAAAATAGAATTTTGATTTTCTTGTTTAACCTCTGTATATTGCCCTTAAGCAATTTCTCATATTTTTCACAACATATTGAACAGTTATCATTTGATAAGTAGATTACCGCTTCATAGTGCAGTTCCACTAATTTGCAGGATTAATTTAAGAAGGTAGTGTAGTATAGTGGAAAAATAAGGCTTAGAAATTCTAGGAGTTTATTTGGGTTCTGAATCTACATTTGTCTAAACACTGAAGAATTTCAATTTGGGGTCCACTTGCGGGCAAATTTATGATTCTCTGGTATATCTGGATTCAAAGGGAAAACATTACAACTATAGTTTTGTACATCTTGAAACTTGAAAAGAATGCTTGGGACTTGAAAGTGCTATATTTGAATTGTACAGTGTAGATCTTAAGGAATATTTCAGGCAAAGGAAAGGCAAGAAGAATAGGAAACCTGAGAAACTATAATAAGAACAATTTGGTTGAATAGTGTTTTAAAGGGTAAACATTATTTTCACAAATAGAACACTTTGAGTTATTTTTGTAGCAGCCACATAAATATCAATAATGATGTATTCTGAGGTCACAGCTGTGCAAAGAGATGGGAAGGGCCTCACCACTTGTTAGAAGTAGCTGCTTTATAAGAATCATGAGAGGAAGTCAAAAAAATAAGTCAGTATTCTGGTTCTGTTACTAGCTACGTGACCTTGGAGAAAACTATTTAGTGTCGTCAAATGTCAGTGGCCTTGTTCATTGAATTAGTGCTAAAATCTACCTCTTAGGTATGTTTAATTGAACAATGTTGTAATAAAAGTGAAAATATTTTGTAAACTGAAAAATGTGTATACAAACGTTAAGATAATGATGACTGATACTCAGTGGCTTAATAAATATTGAGGGTACTTTTTCCAAATGTAAAGGAAGTATTGTCAGAAAAATATTGGGGGAATAACAACAGACGTGGATTTCTAGTTTAGTGTAAGGAAATGTTAAGTACCAGCAGGCTACTACTACTATTTTCTAAACTTGTAAGGAATTTAGTAAGTTAGACCTCTCTGTTGAGATTTTAAATGTTTTAACTAATGGTAACGTTCTTACTGAATACTAAATGCATGCTAGGCAGTGAGATCTGAACACACAGAATGAGGACATACGTTAAAATGGTAGGAACAGAAAAACAAGGCGACAACACTGATCATTAAATATAAGTGATTTCTATTTAAAGACAGATAGTGTTAGGCTAGAGAAAATTGAAGAAATTGACAGTTAGGATGGGAATGGGAGTGGCAGTTAAATTCTGTAGTCAGAGATTTCTTTGAGACTGCGTCAAGCTCCCATAAAAAGCATGAGAGGTAGTACAGCATGTGAAGGCCTAGGTGAAAGATATTTGGAGTAGAGAAAAACAACAGATCACACTTGCTTATAACTTTTCTGTTAACATCCTGGAAAGACTAGGAAGCATTATCATCATTTTCATTATTGTAAGGTGTAGAATAAGATTGCAAATGGCCGGGCGCGGTGGCTCAAGCCTGTAATCCCAGCACTTTGGGAGGCCGAGGCGGGTGGATCACGAGGTCAAAAGATCGAGACCATCCTGGTCAATATGGTGAAACCCCGTCTCTACTAAAAATACAAAAAGTTAGCTGGGCATGGTGGTGCGTGCCTGTAATCCCAGCTACTCAGGAGGCTGAGACAGGAGAATTGCCTGAACCCAGGAGGCGGAGGTTGCAGTGAGCCAAGATCGCGCCATTGCACTCCAGCCTGGGTAACAAGAGTGAAACTCCGTCTCAAAAAAAAAAAAAAAGATTGCAAATGTGTGCCTGGCACATATTAAATGCTTTATGAATTAATGTTTTTATATTTTTATGAAGGGCTTGCTATATTTTTCTGAAATTATGTCTTAATTGGAATCA